CGTTCGTCGTCAGGACCTTGAAAATAGGAATTATAAAAAAAATCAAAAATTAAGGTTTCTGGTAAGTAAAAGATTCGAGCTTATCTATTTTATTTTATTGTCAATGTTTCAGCCTAGAATGAAGTAGCTGAGGATGAATCACGCTCACGGGATGTCCAATGGACTGTGCCCAATGTATGTAACAGCAAATTATGTAAGGATTAGGGATATGAGCCGGCAGACAATAGAGGGAGTGAGCATAATTTTATGGTATGAAACAATTCAAAGGTGAAACTAAACAATGTATAACACTTTACTGATGAAGCTACAGCAAGAGAAGAGAGTGAGTTTCTATATAATTAACAACAGGATGATGTACCGTTAAAGTGACCCGCCAGCATCATAGTCCAAACGCAATTTAATGTTTGTTGAATTTATAAAAAAAAAAACTTCCACTATTATTCCTACAGACACACTTATTAGAGACCAAACAGCTTTGTCGGCTATCATTGGTCAAATTGCTTATATTCATGCTGAACTGAATACGGTATACTGTACCTGCATAGTTTATATACATGCTTATTTAATCGTAAAACTGCATGAAAATTTTATTAAATAATTAGTGTTATTATTAATTATCAAATTTATCAAATATTATTGTTTCAAATACAGTACCCCAAAAGAATAAACAGTTAACTATTACAACTGTTCATCTATAGACACTATTCATGCAATCATTTTGTAAAAGATTTGGCATGTAAAAATGTTTAGTAGACAGAATCACTAATCTCTTACATGAATTAATATTCAAAACCCGCACAGCTAAAAATTGTCGGAGATAACCCCCACAACACAGCATTAATAATGACAAGGCTCTGCACAAGTTTCTAACTAACCCTAAAGATCTTGAGTTGAAAGATAAGAAATATGACTCCTAATAAGGGTACATGGAAACATAAGACCATCACTAGAACTAGATTACGGATGGTGAAATCCAGTCAGAAGGGAAGGCGGGGAATCAGATATATTATGCATCAACACTTAGCAGATGCAGCCAAATACGGAATAATGGAAAGTATCCCTGACATGGTTGACCTGCCCTCGGAAATATCTAATTGTGCTGGTGAGGAATGTATAAAGTGACTGGTAAGGATCTTTGATTGTGCAGGGAAAGCTAAAAAAATTAATTAAAGATTGAGAAAAAAAAGCAATGATACTAAGAACTGCCGCGAAACCTGACTACTAGGCCTACTGCACATCAGAAGCTCTAAGTGGATTCTGAAATATATTATTGTAAGATCACAAATGGAGGAGAGGATGAGGGATTGGTAATTTGTATTTCCAGCAGGAGAAACCATTAACCTTATACAGGTGTATCAGAGAAAATGGCATTCGACAAAATATTAAACTCAAAACCGAAGAAACATTAGAATATGATTATCATGAATTAACAACCAAGTTGGTAAAAATTATGAAAAAAATCGTGATTAGCCAAGAAGGTAAAATAGGTACAATTAAGACAAGAGTTCAGCCAAGTAAGTATTGTCTCACCACTATAGTTTACTGTCTTCTTGCGTGAGTGAGGTTTATCATGTTTAATATGCAGAGAATGTAACAATAACAACGTACACAATATAAGACTTATAACATATAATTATTTGATAGTTGGCGCACAACACCAGTGAAAGTGAGATGATGACCAACCCCTTTAAATCTGAAGTACTATGATGATGACAGCAGGCAGGGGGCGGAAAGAGTTTAGTGGACAAGGTGTTTACAAAAGTCCAAAGGCTAAGTGAAAAGAACATGAAAGTGACAATTAGGCTCGGTAAGATAATTGACTGAGGTGGTTAGGTGATGGCAGAAGAGAGAGTGTGCTGGAAAAATCACTCGAGCTAAGAGGTAATAATTGAGGAAAGTAGTGGGATAAATACCGTTGAACAACAACAAAGCCAATAACAGGACGAATGAACTGATACTGGAGAGGGAGAAGGAAAGAGGAAAACCCAGGAAAATGCTATGGTAAACGGGACGGAGCTTGGAACACAAAATAAACGGAGATGAAGAGCAATATCGACACTAGTCATCAAGTGTTTTAAATATAAAAATCCTACACGTGGTTTCTGAGCGAGTCCCGTTTGGTTTAAATAATACAACGTGTTGAAGTAGGTGAGGAAAGACTGCTATATCAACATTCTACTGAATTGACAGTTGCTAATAAACAACTACACACGTTTTATTTAACAAATTAACAACTAATTTTCCGTACTCTGCATTTTGAGATCTTGCCAGATTTAACAGTATTTACGAAAATGAAGCTCAAGAATGGAAGATGAAAACTGAAAAAGGCAGAGGCATCAGTACTACAAATCGCAAGGCAACTGTACATTTACGTTCTTTATTTTATTCAGCATTTCACCACTTATCAGCTTCCTAGCCATTCGGGCGGTTGGACTGTTCATTGTTATTGATTTGTGTTTTGTTAAGACCTTTATTGCCCAGTGTTGGTACAAGAGGAAACCGGAGTACCTGGATAAAACCTGCGATGTGTGGTATTAAGGTTTAGCTCAAGGATTAGTCGTTGGTTTCGCTGGTTAACACCATTCTCACACCTGTTCCGAACCGGGTATTGAACCTAGGACACACTCATGAGATATTTTCGCGCTAGAAACGGACGTTCATCTCACAATATTTGGTACTGCGTACCACACCTATTCAGCAAGGTTATTGTGAAATTAAATGTAATGCCAGGCCACTTGACACTTAGCCAGTCCCCTTTTCAGACAAGGTACAGCATTTCTTTTGTTCTATACTAATATGTTGTGTCAAAACTTCCTCTATTAGAAGAAATGAGATTCGCGGAAGTTGATTGCCATACTATGAACAGTGGTGAAGAGGATAAAAGTAAGTAAAAGTACGAACAACCGTGCTAATACACGGTGGAGTTAGGCCCAGACTTGTGCTATGAGGTATATGATCTTACCTGTTAAATCATTTTTTTAAACTCCCCCCACTGTCAGTATACACACATGTGAATTTATAACTAACATAAGGAAAAGTATGTTTAATGCTCCGAGAAAACATTTGTTTGCCAATTCACCGCTTTTCAGTATACTAGCCGTTCCCGCGGTTCATCTCTTCTTTGTTACATTGTTATGACCTTCATTGACTAATGTTAGTACAATGCAAGAGAAACCGGAGTACCCAGAGAAAGCCTATGATGCTACCCCTGGTAAACACACTTCTCACATCTGTACCGGGCCGGGATTGAACTTTGCACACGATATTGAGGGATAATCACGTTACCGCTGTATCACCAGCACCCCATATATAGTATGTTTACAAAAACAATTTGTGAAATTTTATGCTGTGAAACCAAGGATCCTATACTCTAGAGCAGTGGTTCTCAACCTTGTTTGCCCCATGCACCCCTTTCACCATATGTCAGAATGTCATTCCCCCTCCTTTCCAAGATTGTCTGCCTCAAAAAGTGCATTCCAAATAATATGCATATAATACTGAAAATCCTTTATTTTTTCCATATTAGTACATATACATTTACAATTTTACATGGATTATTTTTATAGTGGAGTTTTACAAATTAAATGCCAATTGAAAATGTTGATGGATTTATAAAACTTGAATAAAAGTAAAATAGTTTTTTTTTTATTTATAATGAATTACTTAACAGACCAAACTGAAGCATAATGCAATAAACAAAAAGTTCAATAGAATACCAGGATATTGTAAATTTGTAATTAATTTTATTCAGATGAAGATTACAGTCAATGAGAAACCTGTGATTGTTTTTTCTTCGCCAATTCTGGGATACGCGGAGGAGTGCTTGAAAGGGCACAACGCAGGTCATTTTCTACCTCTAATCTACTACGTTGCTTCGTTTTAATTTGCAACAGAGTTGAAAAGCCTGACTCACAAAGATACGTCGACACAAACGGAAGCAATGCACGGATAGCTCTTTCTGCCACTTTTGGGTAGGAATCGCACATCAAGGGCCAAAATTCTGTGATTGATTTCTCATCGAACATATCTCTTGCTCCCGAATCAGTTCCCCCCCCCCCCTGAAAACCTGAATTCCCCCCCTGGGGGGAATTCCCCCTTGGTTGAGAACCCCTGCTCTAGAGACTAGGAGGATGGCTCACTGTTATTTTTTTTTATCATCCGCGACGGTTGCGTCATCCATTGCGCCTTTCTTGATATTGTGTGATAACGCCAGGTTATTCATATATAGTCTGTAGGTTTAGATATCCAAAAATAATTTCTCAAGGCAACACATTTGATTTTACAGAAAAAAAGAAAGTATTTGTGATGGTGGTAAGCTATACAGCTTTACACCAGTTTTACACCATTCAATAGGAAATAAATATCACAGTCAGTTAACCAATGCACTTTACTTAAGTTGTTTTGAACAGGCTACTATTTCAGTAGCGATAAAAATGTCATCACTATTTCTACAAGTTGATAACAGTTGGCAGTGACACTTTTTTTCACAACTTATTTTGTGACCAACGTATTTTTTTAAGTACAGTATAGCATCAAAACTACGAAAACATTATCGTGTAGAGTATTCTTATTTGTTTTTGCTTTTTCTTCCTGTTTAAAAATCAATATACAGTATAGAGTTCCGTGGTTGTACTCTACTAAATCTATACGGTAATGTATATTATATGGCCTAGCATTCAAACTTTGTATGATTTAGCTGTGGCAGCCAAAACTTGGTGAAAAGCAAACACATTATTGTGGTGTTTGAAATACTACCTAAGCATTGCATTACTAAATATACAACCTAAACATTGCATTATTAAATATTTTATGAAAATTGCACAAACTACACAAAATAATTTAATCCTGAAATTTTTATAGATATTATTCAATTTGAAAAAACTTTTAATTTTAAGAATTAACATACCTTTTATCCCATGGAAGAAAAGTTTTATATTAAGTACATCTGTCACATCGAGTATTATATTTGTAATCCCTACGGAATGCACTTTGTTTGTAAACAACATTGCGTGAGTCTGCGGCGAGTTCCTCATAAATTGCACATACTGTATAAATAAAATAAAGAGAAATTTTGGTCACACAACAATTCTTAATTCACAGCTGTAAGCAGTAATGGGTGGTTATGAAGCCTGTACAGTAATTGGAAGCAAAATCCACGGTAACTGCATATATCAGTATGGCATAAGAATATATTCCAAGACCAAGTATCATTTACAGTCATAAAAAATTTACCGACACCTTTTTGAAAGGTATAGTGTGTATGTTAATTTCTCATCAGTATTGTAGAAATAGGTTTTGGTTAGGTAAAGTTAGGTTAGTTATAATTAACCTAATCATACTGGTTAGGTTACATAGGCATGTATACTGATATGAGTCGTTTTTGCGTATTTTTACCCCACAATGGTGTTAATTAAGGGAGTCATATCACCAAAAGGGTAAAAATCATCATATCAGTCATCCCCGTACAATATTTAGATATACAAACTATGACCTAACCAACCTAACCTGATAAAATTATCGTTTCGGTTATCCAGCGAATTTTAGGATTTAAAGTTTTGGAATCAGTAGTTTAGACAATTCTAAGACACTTTTCTCCTATAGCGTTTCCGTCGGAAATTTATAGTTTAAGAGTATATTTTAATCTATAAAATTGCTAAAAATTTTACTTGTTTAAAAGTTGCAAGGCTTTTAAGTAGAGGGAAAATGTGGGGTAAAATGCCCCCAAAACACTAAACAAACATTTGAAAACCTGACCTAACGTTTCCTAACCTAGCCACAGAACCCAGGAATGACCGAAACGATAATAATACAACCAAAATGCAATATGGTACTGAACTACTCGTTTCTGCAAGAAACGAAGGTCATTCTTATGAGTGAAAAACATTATGAATGGTCACTATGGCATATTTACCTATTTCTAGGTACAGTAATTATTAATTTTTTGCCCATTCCATTCTTTTGATATGAGATATTGTTTTTCTGGTGTATTTTGGTGTTTTAGTCAATATGACCTTCATTTCTTGTTCAAATGAGCCTTTTTTATTTCGTAGATTATTGACAAAAACTGTAAAACTACCATTTTAACAAGAAATGAAGGTCATATTTGACTACAACAAAATACACCAGAAAAACAATTTCTCATATCAAAAGAAGGTAACCTAACCTAACCTAACCTACCTTTGACAACCAAATTGCCACTAACCATGACTGCATCATCGCTAACCTTGACCAAAGATAAACATATAATACTATCTAACCTGCATAGATGACATACACATCGCTGCCATGACGTCACGGTCTACCCACTCTGGTGGACCGCTGAATCACCTTGACACAGCTGAAAGTAGGTCTATGTTTTGAGGGTAAATATATTAAAAACTAAGCATTTGAGCAAGAAATGTTACTCTTAAATACCGATTCTTTATTAAAAAAAAATATATATTTAGGGTAGTCAGAAACACTATAAGAGGACTGGGTGAAAGACGAATATTAACCCTTACCTTAATTGACAAATGAAGTTGAATAAAGTGCCGACACATTAAGGAGGAAGTGGTGCAGTATTGTCCAACCACGTACCTTTGAACGCAGAAACCATAAACTCACAAGTACACGATATCTTTTTCTTCAGGAGTGTCTGTCTTTTACTGCCATACCAAGAATGAAGATACATACTGTACAGTCTGATTACACCTTGGACACTTTACTGAACCAAGGAGAACACACCAGTCTTCCAATGAGCAACCTTTAAAGACAGAGGTCATCTTCCCACTAATTCAAATTCACATGACATTGAGACTTGCCCTGATTGGCTAAGTAAGAAGTAAACGCATGCACACGATTATCACAAGACATCAACACTTCCACTGAATGGTCGAGTAAGAATTAAACAAAAAGTATACCTGCAAACTTGTACTTTCTTCATTGAAAATAATGCAAAAACTATAAATTTCCACCAGAAATGCAATACTATACTGTACAATAAAGTATTTTATTTAAAAATATTATTATTTTTTGCTTTATCTCCCTATACTGTATTATACAGTACAGTATACAAGTACTGTATGAATCAGTATAAAGTCCATGAATGGTCATTATGGAATATTTACCTAGAAATATAAGGAATAATAATACAGTACTGTCCTTGCATATTGATAACCATAGTAAGGCGCTGTATGACTATTTAATGCCAAGCCTTCTTGCTAATTGTTTGGTTTATATGGAGTGAAAAAACAAAATACAGTTGTAAGATTTGACCCATTTTTATATTAGTGGCATCTTATAATTGTTATACAGTATCTGATGGCTGTCATATATTTATATGATTTTTATACCTGTAAAATCAGGAATTTCTTTAAAATATTCAGGGCACAAAAAACTTTAGCGTAAGTAAAAACTTGGGATAATAAATTTCTTCTCATCAATAATGCTTATTGTTCCAGGTTTCTCTGTAAGGATGTCTCCTAAATCTCCTAACCTACAGTTACTCGGGGAGACCCTCACACGTCACTACAGACTTGCCTGCGAATTATTCAATACTTATCCAGTTGGACGCTTCACCCATCAGTTTTCTCAAGGAAGTTTGGATCTCAATTTATCTGAGATTGATCTAGAACAGTTGGAGGCATTATGCCATACTCTTCAAAACAAGATAGCTCCTTTGAATATTCACATATATATTCCAGATGGAAAGGAAGGTAAACTAATTAACTCTTTAATATAATTGTTTTGTAGGAAATTCAGCATCCAATAGACTCCTGATTATTTATTTGTTTTAATATTCATGTATTGATTATCTATGGTAAAAATTTTTTGATTTATTATTGTTATTTTCATGGATGTTTCTAGCCATTTGCAATTCACCAGCAAAGTTCTCAGCCCATTTTTAATAGTCCCAATTAGGTTATAGTGTGCCCCACATTCTCTGTCTTGTTTCACTGAATATCCTCTACTTCAGAATACAGGTACAGTTCAGTATTCCCACCCATGTCTCTGTGAGAGGTAGTGAGAGGGCTGATGAGGTGGCAAAAGGTCTGCTGCCTATTGCCATGCTCCTTTGTGCTCCTTCTCTCACGGAAATATCTTCCCTGCAGTCAGATCAGCCATCCTGGCAGCTGCATTGGAACAATTTATCCGTTCCCAACAAGCTGCGGGAAATTACAGTGAGGATCTGTCCATGGGAATATCCTTGTATGTCCTGCCGTTATGAGACTGCCCTTACCCATCTACATGTTGGCCACACTCACCTCACCCACAATTTCCTTATGGCCAGAGGCCTGCAACCCTATTGTGATGAATGTTTGGTGGTCACTGACTGTGCAATACTTGCTGGTAGAGTGTCCCAGTCATGTGGACTTGGGGAGTTGTGATATTTGCTAAAGGATGTATTTTTCTGTGCTGTACATGTACTCTATTATTCATTTTTTACACAGCTGCATTGAAGGTCATTCATCGAATTCTACAGGGAATCAGCATATGCCTTTCAAAATCACTCATTTTATCAACTCTTGAACTCTACAATATCAAACTAAAAGGGAAGAATCTCAATATATTTTGTCAGGTGAGACTTTTCACATATTGTAGTAATATGTCTACACTAAAGATGTGCAAATTAAAATATACTTTGTAAAATTTATTTTGGGTTATATAACTGAAAAATTTGGAAGTTTCAAATGTAAATACTGTACCTGTATATTATACTGTAGTCTGTATGTTAATCTATTGAATTATTCTCAGGGTAAGTATGTAGACAGAAAAATGCTTGAATCCAATAGGAAACTATTGTAATATCTCTTACAGTGCTCCACGAGATACTATACAGAATCAAGTTGAATATTTCAGGGAGTAGCTACCCTTCCGTGTTAGCTAAGGGGGCACTTGGACGTCCCACATATAAAAGAGGGTGGGTGATAGGAAGGGCATCCAACTGTAAAAGTTGTTTAAAATTTACTTGATGGTAGCCAGGACACCATGCCATCAGGTGATCATGGAAAATTGCGATGAATTTGGGAAAACATGTAAGACAAGAGATAATATTCGACACACCAGTATGCTAAAGTAAACAATTTGGGATGCATTCATCAATCCAGTTTGAGATACTATACATTCAGGAAAAAAATTGAGCAGATTTTACCACACCCAAAAATTTTATTAAAATGCCACAAATAATACTGTATAACTTACATTACAAACTAGCAATTTTAGGACGGACCTCCATAACCCCTTGTACAGTACTGTACAGTATATGGGGTACCTCTGAGCCGAATAAAATCATCTGGTGTTAGCCAAATAAAATATTAAAAGTGGCATCCCCATAGTAATGAGGTTAGTGGAGATAGTCTACCAACACCTCGTGTACGGGTTACCCTTTGAGCTGAATAACATAGCAGTATGTTAGCCAAATACAGTGACCCTTCGTTTAACGAACGCCTCGGTTAACGAACTGCCTTCCATAAGGATCTTCAATTCGGTTAACGAATTTCTTACGAACCGACCTCAACATGTTTTCGCTTGCACTGACCGGGCAACCAGCTTTTGTATCAGTCCGCCAATACATTAATCGGTTCTAGGGCTTAAATTCCTTACTATTTTAGTAAATATCAAGAAGTTTATACTATTCAATAATTTTAAAAATTTAATATTAACTTTTTTAGTCATTTTAACAATTATTGAACATAATTGAAGGTAAAGAAACTAGTTTCTGGCGTGCCATCCAGCCTGTTAACACACCAGACAGGCGTTAGTCTCTCTCTGTTTTCAGTGGAGGTAACATCTTGCTTGAGACTCTCTTCAACTAAACGCTTTTTTTCTGTGTTTCCAAGCAAATTATTGGTCATTTTGAAATATATTTTACATATTGACAATATATAATGCAGTGCAGTGTTGATTTAAAGAAAATAATCTTGAAATACACCAAGAGAACTAAAATTTTATGGATGAAATGGTGCCATGGGGTGACTTCTCTTCCACCCCAATGCCTTTTCTTCTTCCTTCTCCTCCACCCCCATTCTAAATCATCCCATCATCATCATCCAGGAGCCTTCTACATACACACCTCAAAGTAAGTGAACTTTTCTACCATTTTTGTTGAATTTAGGAAATTTTCGGTGAGCTGGAACCAATTACCCAAAAACCCATTGAAACAATGGTTTCGGTTAACGAACTTTTCGGTTAACGAACGACCTTCTGGAACGGATTGAGTTCGTTAACCGAGGGGGTCACTGTAGAATATTAAAATTGGAGACCCCGTAGTGAGACATTAAAAAATCTTGAAAGGATGGAAAATATAAATGTACTGTAGATCACATCTTCAAAATGTCAAATGCTATAAGCTCAAAATTTCATAATTACAAGCTTGTTATCCGGCACAAGAAATTTAAGGATGTACAGTACCATAATTCTTCATGAAGAAGGTAGTAGACCTGTGGAACAGTCTACAGTACTATGTAGTAGTAGTGGTGGTAACCCCAAATTTGTATTCTGTAAATTATCATGATTCCACTGTAGTATTGGGTTTTAAATTAGCCCTTGACAAGATCATCAAGAACAGTAGGGGAGAGGGACCCCACTCAAACCACTGGTCTCTTTACCTTGACTAAGCTAATAGTAGCTGAGGTGACCATTAGATAGAAGTAGATGAAAGTAGGGGGTAACAGTTGTCTACTGGTTGGAGAAATAAATCGTACTGCCTGGGTTATGCTCTGATTAATTTCATGTCACAAAAGATCTTCACTGATTCAATACCCTGTAGGAAAATGTGAATAAATAAGTACTGTAGTGTTAAAAAGACAATATGAAAATTATGAAATGGAATGAGTTTGGTGTAGATACAATGAATCAAGAAATTATAGATACATGAACTAAATAGCTGTACATATACAGTAGAAGGAGACCTAAGACTTGATGAAGAAACGGAGTAAAAGAATATTACTGAGATTGTAAGAATACAAGTTATTTATGTAATATGGATATACCATAGTGTTTTAAACCCTTACATTGTGACTATTGAAAAACCGAGTAAATACTAAAGGCCAAATAAACAAAAACAAAACAAGAACTCGCAAAATTATGTTTTATTCTTATAAAATTAATGATATGTTTGCAGAAGAAAAAATGTGAATGTGTGAAGGCCAGGCTACTAGGGGGGAGTAGTTGGGGGTGGCAGGAGGGGGGGGGAGGTCAGACTACTATTAACTACTGTACAATTAATGGCTACAAATGTGCATCTTCCATGGTGTGAGCAGGGGTACTGGGACAAATGTTGTGTTTTATAAAAGCTAAAACTGATGCATAATTTAAAAAGTGGCTGTTTTCATAAAAGAGACATCACAGTTTAAGTGTTTTAAATTTTATATTATTTACTCTGAAATACTGTACAGTTTGACAACCCTTTATCCTCAAGTTTTTTGTGGGGCTTTTTTTTTTTTTTTTTTTAAACAGGGATTAGCCCACCTGGGCATAGATCACTGACCCACATCAGGGCCTGGGGGGGGATGTAATAGTAATAATAATTATAATAATAATTATTCATAGTAAATAAAAATTTTAATAAAAATACACTGAAATAAAATATGATAACATTAATAATAATAATATATAATAATAAAATTAATAAAAATAACAATAATACAGGCGTACTGTAATAATAAAATAATAATACTGTAATAATAAAGAAATACAAGAATGAAAAATAAGATCAAAAGTGAGAAACACGACCTAGACCTATGAATTATTATTATTATTATTATAATTTTTATTATATTTTCGTCCCCCCAGGCCCTGATGTGGGTCAGAGATCTATGCCCAGGTGGGCTAATACGCATAAAAAAAAATAAAAAAGTAAAAAAATAACCATTCTGAAAACCGAAAAATTACGAAATCCGAAATTCCTCTGGCCCCAAGGATTTTGGATAAGGGATTGTCAACCTGTACAAAGGAATAAAATTTCGTCTTTCAATAAATTACCAGAGAAGCCTAGTTATTAGAACACCAAGCAGAAATGTAATACAGTACAGTACTGAATTAATTTACTGTATATTCTTATTTCAGGGCCTTATGAAGTCACAAAATCTGAAAATCTTGAGTTTCAATAAATGTGAACTTGGAGATGCTGGAGTTGCACAGATGTGTCAAAGTATCAAAAATGTACCCAGCATTACACAACTCCAGTTGATTAATTGTCTTCTAGCAGAAAAGGGGACCTTTGCTGTTGCCAATTTGATACAGGTAAGTTTTGCAATTAATGGGTTTGTCACTGAAGGAAATTTTATTAATATATTTTGGGTATGACAGACAGTACCAGTAGTATATAAAACCATAACTTAATTCAGTATATTAATTAAAGCTACATCATCTGTGATAAAGGAAGGTTATGTTAATCTGGAACCTTTTGAGAACATTGAGTAGCTGCAGGAATAGCTTGATGATTAACACTTTTCCTCTGCCAAGGTTATTCATTGGAGATTACTGCAATGCCTGTACAGTATATTATTATGTATTTCACCTTACTTAGCCCAGAACACCACAGTCATGCAGGTAATTTAAACAGTGTGTTCATTTACAAAGTATTAACGCACTTCTTATTCTCACGGTAGAGTTTCCATGAGAATTAAGGAATTACCCTTTCTTTTCTGAAGAGTTATTTCACACTTTAAATTTTGTTATGGTTTACCATAGTTTTATATTAGTGTAGTATAATATAGTATACAGTATACACAGTAATCCAAAGGGCAACACATACTGATGGCCAAGGACTCACTATTGTGATAATCAAAATCAAGTCAGTCAGCAACAGTTTTTGGCAATTATTAAAAGTACTTCTCTGTTGACTCTGATGCTTGTGTACTGTACAGTATGTAGAAATAATGTTTAAGTACAGTAAACAATGTGTTTTGAAAGAAATCTGCTTTTACAATCCTGAAGTAATATAGATAATATAAGCTGCTGATAGCCTGATCACAGTCAAATACATATACAGTATTTAAATTTAATAGCACCAAAGGATGAATCGTGATAGTGCAATGTGGCAAGATACTCTTCGTTTACGTCAACCACACCTTGATGGCATGAAAGGTCTTCGCAGAATAACCCTCAATAACAACCCCCGACTCAATGATAAAGGAGCAGTGGCTATTGCTAATGCTCTGGCTGAAGATTTGTGGATCAAAGGTAAATTTGCTATAATAAATTTTTTTATGTTCTGTAGTTCCCAATTTGCAGATCCCAATGAGTCATAAGGAAATGTCAAAGTTTAGTGGCTCAAAACAAGGATGGAACCCAGACTCTACCCTGCTTGGTTGTCATGAGATGTGAAGAATCATGATGGTAACCACAAAGAATTATGTTCAAATAATTAGAGAATATTAAAAAGGCTCTGGTTGAGTTTTTATAAGCATTGAGTTTTGATTCTTTGGACCCTTTACACACTATGCAAAATGTTGTGAACCTGATTCAGTTAAACCTGTGCTGAAAGATTCACACAAACTAACAGTGTGTTGTATGGTACTTCTTTTGGACAACAGATAGGCCAAATTCACCAACTGAACAGCTGTTTATAAAGTAAATACTGGCCAAGTTACTTATTATCAGCCAATGTCCGTGGGTTGAAAATCCAGGTCCCATGACAAAAATGGTTAGAACAAACTGCATAATTAGTTCCAACCCTCCAGTTACAATCAAAGCCCTTACATAAGGGGTCTTGAAGTCTCTTAATGCTGAAGAGTAGGAAGTCTTGGTACCACTCTGGTTGTGCGATTAACAACCCTCATTTTGGTTTTGTTAGCCGATGTAGACAGAACAGTTACCTCTCAATTCACCGTCGGATAAAATTAAGAGCCAAGAGCAAACTCATCCTTAAAAGTGTTTTATATAGGATTTGATAATAATGATGTGTATTGTTATTAGTCTGCAAGAGTGTTAATAATTCCCTGATGACCTACCCAGTTTGAGGTTAGCTGGTGAGTTGGTATGTAGGATCACAAACTCCAGCACCTTGTAAAGGTTCTCCTGCATAGCTCAGCCTTTCTAATGATAGTCTATTCTATTTCAGAGCAGTTGTCTCATTTGAGGTTTAAGACTTACATCTCTAAAGTAATAAAACAGATGTACTGCATTTTGTAAAAAGTGTTCAACACATGCTTAGATAGTATCAGGTTGACAATCCCTGATGTGTTTCGGATTTTGTAATTTTTCTGATTTCAGAATGGTTAGGCAATTTTTTTTCTATATTTTTTTAATTTATTTAGTTTTTTTTTACAAGGATCAGCCCACCCAGGCACAGGTCACTAACCCACATCAAGGCTTGGGGGGCGAAAATTTAATAATAATAATACTGTCCTAATTCATAGGTCTTGGTTGTGTTTCTCACTTTTGATTTTTTTTCATTCTTGTATTTCTTTATTATTATTATATTTTATTATTATTGTTATTGTTTTTTTTATTGTTATCAGTATTATTTTATTATTATATTTTTGTGCATTTTTTATTATAAATTTTATTTACTATGAATTATTACTACTATTATTATTATTATTATTATTACATTTTTGCCCCCAGGCCCCGATGTGGGTCAGTGACCTGTGCCCGGGTGGGCTGATCCTTGTATTAAAAAAAAAAAAAGAGAGAGAGAGAGAGGAAAGAGGAGGGGTACGTGATGCAACATGAAATTTTTTTTCGGTTTTCAGAGGTTTCGGAATTTCGGATAAGGGGTTTTCAACCTGATGCAGTGGTCCCTCGGTTAACGAGCGCCTCGGTTCACGAGATTTCGGTTAATGAGTTACCTTCCATAAGATTCTTAACTTTGGTTAATGAGCCATCCCTCGATTAACGAGTCTCTTACGAGCCGACCTCAACATGTTTTCGCTTGCATTTGGCTGCCCACCAGCTGTAGTATTAGTCCGCCAATACAGTAATTGGTTCTAGGGCTTATATTCCCTACCATTTTAGTAAATATCAAGAAGTTTATACTATTCAATAATTTTAAAAGTTTAATATTAATTTTTTTTAGTAATTTTAACAATTATTGAACATAATTGAAGGTAAGGAAACTAGTTTTATGTGCGCCATCCAGCCTGTGAACACACCAAACAGGCGTCAGTCTCTCTATCTCTCTTTTCAGTGGAGGTAACATCTTGCTTGAGACTCTCTTCAACTAAATGCTTTTTTCTGTGTTTGCAAGCAAATTATTGGTCATTTTGAAATTTATTTTACATATTGACAATATATAATGCAGTGCAGTGTTGATTTAAAGAAAATAATCTTGAATTACACCAAGAGAACTAAAATTTTATGGGTGAATTGGCACCATGGGGTGACTTCTCTTCCACTCCAATGCCTTCTCTTCTCCCTTCTCCTCCACCGCCATTCTAATTCCCATCATCATCCAGGAGCCTTCTACACACACACCTCAAAGTAAGTGTACTTTTCTACCTTTTTTGTTGAATTTAGGCAATTTTCGGTGAGCTGGAACCAATTACCCAAAAACCCATTGAAACAATGGTTTCAGTTAACGAGTTTTTCGGTTAACGAGCAACCTTCTAGAACGGATTGGGCTCATTAACCGAGGGACCACTGTAATGTACAAATTAATTTTATTTAAAAAAAGAAGGTACTCTTGAAGAGCTACATGGGTGCATTAAGAGGTTTTACTTATGTGAATATCTTCCTCAGCTTTGGACCTTCAGCATTGTGGGATTGGTGATGAGGGAGGACTGATGCTGAGGAATGTAATCAACACCAACCAGACACTAGAGATCCTAGATTTAAGACAAAATCCATTTGTTCCAAGCCAGTTAGTGGAGGATATAAAAGAAGTACTTAAGAATCGACAAGATAAATACAATATTCAGGTCAGTCCACAGATATTTTTAGAATTCTTAAATACCATAAACTGTATCACATAAGACACATGGAGCCAATAGTTGTATTGCAACAGTCCAAACTCAGCATAACTATTATTCCTGCCAGTACACTGTCATGAGTCGATTATTAATGTTAACCACCACAAAAGTTACCGTTCTGAATAATGATGTCTGCTCACCAATAAACATAGAAGTTTTGTAGGTAATACTTGACAAGAGTGGTCCAGCCATAGCAGCAAGCTGAAAAAATTTTTGCAAAGAAGGTTCAAGCTTTTTATCTCAAGAAACATGCAAAAAGCAGGAAGAATGCCTTTTTGAGTCATTTCGCTTTTTCACTCTTATCAGGTTTTTTTTCTGCCATATTTACTTTCCCTTTGCTACACTCTCTAAATTTATCTTTCATATTTCCTATTTTATTCAACTAAAATAGGTTACTTTTAAGCCTCTCAAAACTCCCTGTGTTTACATTTCAATATTCGAAGAGAAAGTCAAAGTAAAGGTAGTAGACCATTTATCCGGCTTACAGGAAACCAGATTTATCAGAAAACTGGTTGCTTTTAACCTGGTTAATTTTGAAACTGGGGGGTTTGGCTGGCAATACAGGGTGTCCCCGACTTACGAACGCCCACCGATACGAAGGTGGTTAAATTTTTAACTATTTTTACTTCCATTTACTGTATTTTGTCATTCTATTTCTTCCTTTGTCCTAAATTAAGTGATTTTAGATGTATATAAGGACTTAGGCTATGATATAGTGGGATTTTAAACATTGTTTTGTAAGCATGGTATGTACTTAGCATGTGTTCTGACTTACGTACAAATCTGACCTAAGAACGTCCTCGGGAACGGAACCCGTCCGTAACCCGGGGACCTCCTGTATTCTTTTCCTATTGGTAATGCCATGGTGGCGTGATCCTCAGTTTTAAAGAGCCAAATTCTGTGTATAGTACTTGCCTCTCTACTTTTCTGTGGTTATATACCCCAATTTAGTATCATTATCATCAATTAACACATTTAAAATGCTAACTGGAAGTTCATTTGGTAAAGGAAAGTCCAAAAGAAAATAATTTTTGCTTCAACAACAATGCCTTGCTATAGTCTTTGTTTGTTTATAATAATGAGTGATTATCCCCACTATCTCTCATCAGCACTTTTATGAGTGGTTTCTGGCAGTCTACAGTACTTACTGCCTAACCACTCGGTACCTGAGAATGACATATGAATAGTGTGAAGAGCATGTAATATAATGTAAGGTAACTATTACAAATAATAAGAGAACTTCCCATAACACACATCACCAGTCAGCTGGGATATGACTATACTCATTGCCAGTGTTACATGTAAAGAAACTATAAAAATTGCAGAAAAATAATTTCAATATTTTAGTGTAACTTAGAAATAAAGAAAATATAATATAAAAGTATAAAATAAGAAAAATAAAGAGCATGGGTATTTATTCTGTGTGGGAGGTGAACATATGCATAAGGCAGTGAACAACTGTGCTAGTTAGGCCTATTTCAGTTTAAACGTGCACATCTGCTGCAAGTTTACTTTATCCTCTCAACCACTGATTGTCAAGTTTCAGTTGAGCCAAGCTTTAAAGTAACTATTTTGCATCGACAGCCATATGATGTCATGGCATACACACAACGCAATAGCCACGTGTCTCCAAGTTAGTTGGGGGGCTGGCTCGGCTTTGGTGTAGCCCTGAGGATGTTTGAATGTGGAAAGAACTATTTTTTGTATATAAAATATGAGCTATTGTATTTTATTATGTGCGATGTATCATTTTTGTATAACTTATTATAGGATTTTTTGTTCAATTTTGGCATATACAAAATACTGTACTGTATATAGAATAACCAAGGATTGGAACCTATTCCCATTAACACATGCCTGTATACACTAGGCTTAGGACCCAAAATCCACCAAATCCTGGAAATTGGTTCACTTCAGGTCCAAAACTTGGTGGTTAAATGGTCCTGTATCTGTATCTCTGAGGATTTTATGACTTGGGTCAAGAATCCTTGGCTTTATATTAAGTTTCTCCTTGACTTTGATCAATCATAATAATGAAACTCGATGCAGAAGTCAAGATATAAGTCAAGGATCCCCGACTCCAGCTTTGCAAAAATGTGCCTATATTATCGAATTTGTATAAAAGTGTGTCACAAGTTTAATTTTGGTGTTTCAGTTTATGTGGTTGGAACCATCAGAAAATGACCAGACAAAACAGGAAGCAACAGCTAAGACTACAGGAAGCCCAGGAAGATATTCAGCAACTAGCAGAATTAATAATATAAAGAAAGTGGGTCATCATGCCATTTATACTCCGCCTAAACAAATACCAAAGCCTCCAGGACAGCTGGGGATTCCATGGAGAGTGGAACATAGATTATTTGAGAGAAGGTATTGAGAATAGTTTCATATAAGTTGTCTCTTTATATTTATCCAGGTACAGGAGGTACCAGTAGTTACAGTGCCATTGATCTATCAAATTGAAACAGTATTTTGAATGGTCCTTATTTTCACTCAAACCTACATTCATTTGTAACTTCAAATTATGGCATTTGTACAGTTAAAAAAAAAACACAGTTGGAATGAGTTGGAATCACACAAGAGTATGGTGATGCATTAAACACACTCACAGTATGTTTGGGGAGAGTTCAAATCCCACAATTTAGACTCATCTATAAAATGCACCTCCTACAATAAAAAAAAAAAAAAATCAAGGTGTTTAGTGGTGTCCCTCCTAAACTTTCCCCTCCAGGTCACTTGTGCCACTTCCCTCCATATGCTGAACAAACATTGAACCATGGTTCTTAGAAGAATAGTTAACGTCATATCGGCTCGGTGAAAATCCTAGTTGGCAACTTTTTTTTTACTTGGCTCCATTCCTTTGTTTTTCTGATCCAAATTTATGGGAAGAAACATAATAAATTGGGCCTTATTTCATAAACATATACTAATGTATAATTTATACAATAGATTTGAATTGTTGGCAGCTTCTGGAGGCAAAAAACTGGTGTAAAACATCTTGTGATAAATCTAGGTTCAGTTGTGCTAACTGTGCTTGGTACTCACTTTATTATCAGCTAAGTAAAGATAAAATCCAGTTGTGTAACCATTAGTCTACAAGGCTTAGAAATTTATTTTGTTTTTTATTGTATATAAAATTGTGTCTCAACTAATATGTAGTTTGCCACATTCTAATTAAGCAAATAAGTTTAATGAGTTTGTCTTGTGATGTTTTTCGATAAGCACGGTACAGGTGACCCTCTCTATATGAATGCTCCAAATACAAAAATTCCCAAATTACCACCTATTTTTCATGTTATGAAAGCTTCCCCCATTCATACAATTTTGGTCTATGCAAAAATTCAAATCGCTTACCCTTGGGATTCACATGGGGTGGCCACATCCTCCCTTATCGCTTTCCCTACCAAGCTGAGGTGTGAGCTGTTCTGATTATTTTTTAACTCATAATTTTGGGTAGATAAGCATAACTTTTTATATATACAGTATTACCCCGCCTAATGCGGTTTCACTTAACGCGTTTTTTCATATACGCGGTGCCTCGCCAGAGCTGAACTTTCACTTAACACGGATTTTTTTCCACATATACGCGGTGAGTGTCCGGCTCGAGACGCTATTTTTAGATTTGCCCCACCCGCCACCCTGCCTGACTGCCTGTTTTAGCTCATAAAATTCATACAAATTACCCGGCCAGAATATAATTTACATTGCTGGAATTCTTATAATTTGGTGATCATTTTGAATATAAACATCATATATTTTGCATTAGACATACAAATTTTAGATAAAATGTTTTCTCTAGTAAATATGTTATCTTTTGTGCAAAATATATGACATTTATATTCAAAATATTCCTGGTCTTACAAGGAATCCAGCAATGTCAATTGTATTATCCTAACTTTAGTTTGAGGTATTATTTATTAAAATTTAGTGGTTTTCCCCCAAAAATTTCTCAGAGAGGGAAGAGCCAGCAGTGTAGTGTGAGAAGAGGGGGAGGGAGTTGAGTCCATTATTTGAATGGACATTAACTTGGCGACTGTATTTCTCTATTTCTCTTAAGTATTAATTGTGTGCATGTACCATCATAAAATTAAGATGTTATTTTTACTACAACATAGTTATGTGTCTTCAAAAAGTGGAGTTTGGGGGTCGGGCTGGTTTCTATTGGAATTAATCCCATATGTTCTGAGGTGTGTATGTAGAGGGCTCCTGGATGATGATGATGATGTGAATTTGAAGTGGGAGGAGGAGAAGGGAGAAGAGAAGGAATAGGAGGTGGTGGAGAAGCATTTTACTGCTTCTTGGAAGGTGAGTCACCTTCCATGAAAATGTCAGGAACCTCTGGACTGACAGATTCTCCACCATGAACATCCTCTCTTCTTCTTGAAGTGGAAGGCTGAGGGATAGCATCTTGTTCCCTCTGCCTTTTACTGAAGAAAGTGTCAATTGTGGTCTGTGGGGCATCTGTCCTCCTCACCATTAACTTATGTTTAAAGAAGGAGACCACTAAGTCTTCAACATGACACAAAGTTAGTTCAGTTTTTTCCACTTCTGGGTAAATCACATCTTTCAACTGTTTAGCTGACATATGGTCATCACTTTCAATTTCCTCCTCACCACTGTCAGCCACTACCTGTAACATCTCATCCAGTTGCTTCAAGTCATCAGGAGTAAGTTCCTCCTCATGAGACATCACAAGCTCTTCCACATCCTCCTCCTCCACTTCAAGGCCCAATGACTGACCAATGGACACAATCTCCTGGTCCAACTCTGTTTCTTCCTCAAAATCATGGACTACTGATGGCCACAGTGCTTTCCATGAAGAATTGAGGGATCTAGTGGAGACTTCTTGCCATGATGACACAATCAATTTTACAGCCTCCAGGATGTTGAATTGTGTCTTCCAGAAATGTTTCAGTGTTAGTTCAGGATCATTGGAAGTTGCCTGATGACACCACCTAAACATTTTCTTCATGTACACCTTCTTGAAGTTGCTGATCACATTCTGGTCCATTGGCTGTATGACTGATGTAGTGTTTGGAGGCAAAAACAACACTTTCACAAAGTCAAATTGATGCTCCAAATTTCTGGCAAGGCCAGGGTCATGACCAGGAGCATTATCCATGAGGAGAAGAGCCTTTAAAGGGAGTTTATTGGTGGTTAGGTAGCTCTTGACAGAAGGGCAAAACACATCAACAGCCCATTCATTAAAGAGCTGTCTTGTCACCCATGCCTTACGGTTGGACTTCCAATAAACTCCAAGCTTTGTTCTTACCACTTTCTGTTGCTTGAACACCCTGGGGTTTTCAGAGTGGTAGACAAGCATAGGCTTCAGTCGGAAATCCCCTGAAGCATTGGCACCAAGCAATAGAGTGAGACGGTCTTTCATGGGTTTATGCCCAGGTAAAGAGGCTTCATCTTTGGTGATGAATGTTCTTTTGGGCATCTTTTTCCAGAACAGCCCAGTTTCGCCCACATTGAACACTTGCTGTGGAAGATAATTTTCTTCTTCCATCAGTTTTTTAAATTCATCTAAAAACTTTGCTGCCCCTTCCTTATCACCACTAGCAGCTTCACCATGCCTAACAACACTGAAAGTGTCACCTCTTTTCTTAAATTTTTCGAACCAGCCTTTGCTGGCCCGAAAATCTTCAAATTCTGTGCCTGAAGAACCAGGTTGATCTGTCTTTAAATGTTCATAAATCTCCCTGGCTCTTTTGAATTCAGTAGAAACTGAATCACCTTTCATCTGTTTTTCCCTAATCCAGATGATAAGTAACCTCTCAGTTTCTGCAATTAGGGATCTACTTTTAAACGCTCTTGTAGATTTGTCTCTCACTTTCACTTCTTTAAATTTGTCTTTCTGTGCAAGAAGTGTCGACACAGTTGATGTCGACATGCCATATTCTTTGCATAGTGCATTTGTTCTAATGCCTTGTTCATGTTTTTTATGATTTCCGGCTTGGTTTGGATTGAAATCGCTTTTCTTGATCTCTTAGGCCCCATGCTGGATTCAAACAATGTCAACACGTGCTTTTCAAAGTTAAACTTGTTGTAAATTAAGAATATTTTCTTTAAAATAACACTGCACTGCGCTATATATTGTCAATATGTAAAATAAATTTCAAAATGACCAATAATTTGCTTGGAAACACAGAAAAAAAGCATTTAGTTGAAGAGAGTCTCAAGCAAGAAGTTACCTCCAGTGAAAACAGAGAGAGACTAATGCCTGTTTACTGTGTTAAGAGGCTGGATGCCGCGCATTAAACTAGTCACTTTACCTTCAATTATGTTCAATAATTGTTAAAATGACTAAAAAATTTAAAATTAAACTTTAAAATTATTGAAATGTATAAACTCCCTCTTTTCCTCTCTTTCAAACTCTATAGCCAACTCTCCCCCTCATAAAGCCAATCTCTTTGGCACATTATTCTCCTCTAATTCCACCTTAGACGATTCCAACTCTATCCCTCCTACTCCTGCTCCTGCTACTGACCCTATGCACTATCCTATAATCTCCACTCATAGGGTTGCTGGCGTGTTATACAGGTTGGATGTGAGTAAGGCACATGGACTGGACGGAATGCCCCCTCATGTTCTGAGGGAGTGTGCTCAAGCTCTGGACCCCGTGCTTGCTCGCCTCTTTGGCCTTTGCCTCAAAACCCAAACTTTTTCTTCTTCTTGGAAGCATGCCTTGGTTCAGCCCATCCCAAAGAAGGGTGACCATTCTAATCCCTCTAACTATTGCCCCAATTTCATCCCTCTCTAAAATTTTCAAAACTATCTTGAACTCTCATTTTCTCTGTTACCTTGAACGCTTTTCTATTTTGTCAGATCACCAGTATGGCTTTCGACAGGTGAGATTTACTGGTGATCTGCTCTCCTACTGCACCCATCTTTAGTCATCCTCTTTTAGGGATTATGGGGAAACTTTTGTCGTGGTCCTCGACATCTCCAAAGCACTTGACAGGGTATGGCACAAGTCTTTGCTTTCTAAACTTCTCTCTTATGGTTTCTCTACCCCACTTTGTTCTCTAATTTCTAGCTTCCTTGAGAACCGATACTTGGCAGTTGTTGTCGAGGGACTGACCTCTCGCTCTTTCTCTACCAATAGTGGTGCCACACAGGGTTCTGTTCTTTCACCTACTCTCTTCCTTCTTTTTATCAATGATTTACTTCACACTACGACTAATTCTATCCATTCATATGCTGATGATTCTACTCTTCATTCTTCTTCACATTTTTCCCTTCCCCCTAATTCTCAAACTAGATCTGTTTCTAGAGCTGATATCATTTCATCTATCAATGTGGATCTGTGCAGCATCTCCGAATGGGGAGGTAGAAACTTTGTTAAATTCAATAGTAATGAAACTCAGTATTTACCAATTACACTTTCCAAATTAAATGATCTCCCACCATCCACATTTCAGGATGCAATCATTCTGTCAAGTTCTAAAATAGATATGCTAGGTCTCACCATTTCCTCTAATATGTCATGGAAGCCACATATCCACAACATTGATAAAGCTGCCTCCCAAAAGCTGGGAATGCTGTACAGATGCCATAGCTACTTCACTCCTGAACAGTTGCTTCAAGTATATAAGGGATTCATTCGTCCTAACTTGGAGTACTACTCTCACGTTTGGGGTGGCTCTTCTTCTGTCCAACTGTTAGATAGGGTGAAATGAAAGGCATTTCATCTTATTGAGTCTCCTACATTAGTTGATAATCTTTCTTCCCTTAGTCTTTGCCCCAATGTTGCTTCACTCTCTCTCTTTTACAGGTACTTTAACGGGCAATGTTCGGTGGATTTGGCATCCTGTGTACCGCCGGCAAGGCCGTGGACTCGTAACACTTGTCTTGCCCGCGGTGCCCACCGTTTCTCTGTGGCTGTCGGTCACGCTAGAATAATCCGTTATAGTACATCCTTCTTTCCTCACACAACCAAACTGTGGAGTGCTCTGCCTTCTTCTGTGTTTCCATACTGATACAATCTGTTTCACTTTAAAAAGCTGGTTTTCCGGCCTCTTCGTGGTGTAGATTAATATAATCTTTTTCTTTTATATTTTTAATTTCATTTTACTCTTATTTTTCGACCCCTAGGACCTGTTGTGGGTCGATGAGCTGTGCCCGGGTGGGCTATTCCCCGTAAAAATGTTTCCCCCCTTGGCAAATTTAGGGTCACACATGAACTTGGTTCATAGTGTCATTTGTAAGGTGAAAATTAAAACATTCTGATGTAAAATGAATGGAACTAAAGATGGGTGCAGTAGGAGAGCAGATCACCAGTAAATCTCACCTGTCGAAAGCCATACTGGTGATCCGACAAAAAAGAAAAGCGTTCAAGGTAAAAGAGAAAATGAGAGTTCAAGATAGTTTTGAAAATTTTAGAGAGGGATGAAGTTGGGGCAATGGGGCGATAGTTAGAGGGATTAGAATGGTCACCCTTCTTCAGGATGGGCTGAACCAAGGCATGCTTCCAAGAAGAAGGAAAAGTTATGCTTGCTTGAAGCTCCAGAGATCTTTTCTTTTACATGCTTCTATTCAGTTTCTTGTAAGCTTATCACTTCATAGAAATCCATGAAAAGAAAAAAATATTTTCTTATTCTTCCACCTGACCCTGCATGAAACTACAGCAGAAACTACCATTGCTAAAAGATATATTATCTTGATCACCTTAAGAATTGTGCCTTCACAGTTGACAAATGGTACAAAGGGAGCCAAGTGACGTATCCATAGGTAGCCAATCAGGACTCTGACGAGTGAAATTTTCCCCTTTTTCAGTATCAGCGACTTAAATTGTAATAAAACAAAAATTCTACTCTATCTTACATGCCAATGTAGCATTCATACTATAAGAAAACTTCAACAAAAGCTCAGATTTTTTTTTTTAATTACTTCAGAGCTCTATGGGAACATTGCTACTTCTTCTTTGTCCCTTGCATTGAACAGGTCCTTCCAAAATCCTGAGTAAGTTTCTCCATAATGTCTGCACTTGATGTTTTTCTTTTTCAATGAACATTATTTCATGGATGACTCAGATTATCAGACCGGTTTCAATCAACAGTGTTTAGAATGCACATAAAACATGAAAGATAGATCAGTCTCCTTCCATTTGTAATGAAAGCCATAGAAACATTATCCAAGAAAAAGCCAGTCTTAAAAATCGGGAGGGCAACCAAGTCATGGCTGCTATACGAACAGCTTATGCATCACTTTAATCTAATGTGAATTTCATAATCATCACATTAAGACTTAATCAGACTACACAGCTCAAGCCACTGAATTCAGGGCATTGTATCTTGTCCACAATTTCTGTCTTAAAGAGACACCTCATCCTTAGCTCACTTATTTTAGCTGTTATTTGATATGGAGGCTGTACTGATGGATGTGCAATACAATGTTGAAAAATTCATAAGGATGTTATCCATGTCTCATAATAATAAAAACAAATTAAAGGTAAGGTTAACTTCCTTTTGGGGTGTAGTGTCATATTAGCAGTTGGAACAATTATTACTATCTTCATCCATTTCTACCTGATTTCTTTTATGCAGCCTGCCTAATGAAGGAGATCAAGTTATAAAGGAAAGATTGATCTTGGAATCCCTTTTTATGGCTAAGCCCCGAACTAGGTGCCTCGGAAACCACTCTCTCCTCCAAGGGCAATTTAGATATTCCGTTGGGGATAAATTGGGATTCATGCCTAAAACCCATCATGGCCAACACGAGAAGAAAGGCAAAGTGTGTACTGGCTGCCCTGATGTCATGTGCACGCTAGGCTGCCTCTCTTTAGTTTAATATTTTCAAAATGGAAAATCTTTGTTTCTATTCTCTAGGTGACAGATGTAGTAGTGGAGGACAGACTAAGATTAATCAAGCTCTACTAATGTCATGTCTGCTGGTTCTAGATCAGTGGATTAGGGAAAGCATTACACAAGTCACCTAGATCCAGGCTCATCCATAAGATTGTTTCAAAATCAGTCCTTTATTTTCTGTGGATAAGGAAAGACCCATCACTGGCAGGAACGACTCTTTCTCCCCAATAATCTTGTGATGAACAACTGGGGATACCTTTTCAATTACCTCACTCACTCATTATTTACTTATTAATTTAGTTTTTTCTACTGAAAAAGGCATTAAAACTGTTCTGTTTTACTGTTTACAGAGAGGGTTTAGCACCTGGTTCAGTGGTAGACGCATTTCATAAAGATCAACAGAACTACGCAGTAGACTCCAACACCTCTCAGCCACCTGATGTAGAGGATGCACTGAACTTGCTAACTTTAAGGTACTGTAGTATTGATACAACTGATAATCAATTTATGCAAAGTATACGTAGTGAGATCAAAATTTTAGTTGGATTAGATCAGGTTAGACTACGAAATGTGGGTTTTGGTAATAACCCAAACCTTGTGTAGTAACCTGAGCAGGGATTACCTTTCTCTTGTAGTGAAGCAGTGTGATTAGGACACAATGTCCATCCACCCCCCCTTGGTGATGCATGTTTATTTGTACGTATGTTTGTATCTGCTTAATAGTACAGTACGAGTATATGTAATTATGTGTATATACTGTAGAAGTACAGGAATATCCCTGTTATTGCAAAGGATGCATTCCTAGAAGTCATTGTGAATAACAAATTAGCATGGGCATTTTCCCATAAGAATTAATGTAAATATGGAGGGATGCATTCACTACATATTTTTTATATACAGTACACTCCTCAGTATCCTAGACTATTGGGGACCAGGGTCGCATGTAGTATACTGTAGTACCAGTAAATGTGAAGAATAAATAAAAATTATACTAAATATTATTAAAAACTCTACATTACCAGTTGGCAATATTTTCACTACACGTGGGACATGGGAGACTGGAGTGGCCGAGATCCTTCCCCCTCTTCCCATGATCCGCGCGCTAACTACCGTGCACACAAGATACGTTGTTTCCTTTACGTTTTTGACCTTAAGATAATTTTTTTTTTTTCACATTCTGTATGAACAATTGTGTATGCATACAGTATAACAGTAAAAAACAAAATATTAAATAAAAGAATAAAAATAATAAAATATAAAAATTATATCCACCTAAAATTACGAGTTGAAAATTAACAATAACGCAGCTCACGGCTTGACCTGGTAGGGGGAAGCTGAGATCTCCAATGCACACCTCCCTCCCACTAACTCCCGCAGACATAAGAAATGTTGATTCTCTTTGTGTTTTTGACCTTACGCTAATCATTTTTTTTTCACATTCTGTATGAACTATTGTGTGTGCATGTAACAATAAAAAGTAAATTTATTTACCCAAAATTACGAGTTGAAAAATAACAACACAGCTTTTCCTGGTAGGGATGTAGCTACAGGGACAGCCTAACTTGGCGACATGCCAGTCCACACATATGTTCACTTCACACACACACACATAAACACCCATGCTCTTGATTAACTTTGGTAGCTGGCAGAAAGGTTAAGATGCATGAATTCTAAATACAGTACTGTATTTTCTGACAATCAAATTGTATTGGAAAGATTAATGTTACATTGGGAGATAACCAAGAGAGAGAGAGAGAGAGAGACAACATCGGATATGAGGCTGGATCTGTAGTGGAGGAGTAAGATCAGACCGAGTTACCCTGGGTGGACCTGTGTGTGTGCGTGTCCTCCGAACCCGGCCGATTCCAGTGTGTGTGTGAAACGCAAGGCAGTGTTTGGTTCCAGTGTGGTGAATCCGAGCCATGCCATATTATTGCCAGCCAACCTGTATGTGTTATATCCTGTTGTTATAAATCTTGTTTCAGTTTCAGATATAGTACTCAGAGAGCAAGTAAATACAGATATTGCTTGTGTTGGTTATGTGTGTTAAGTAAGTGTGTTAATCAGTTGTGCTAACAGCTGATGTATTGATATTGTTCTATCCCTGAAACTCCTAGATGTTGGTACTGTACTAGGTAGTTACTGGTGTGATCTATAACCAAGGTGCTTAAGGGTCCTAAAAGGTACAGTACTAAGAAGTACATACTGATATTTTTGTGTTGTAGTACAGGTATCACTAGGACTCCTAGTTGTTGGTACAGTAGAATCCCAGTTATCCAGCACCTGTGGGGAGTAAGAGGTGCTGGATAAAGAGATTTTCCGATTAGTTGAATCTAGCTCTTAGGGTCCCCCAATGAATCCTACAATGCACAGTGCCACAGGCTGACCTCGCAAATTCATGTCTCAAGAAAAGAAAAGAAAAGACGGACTTCTTTAATATTTATTCCGCTCTATATGAATGATGTGGTTTAGAAATAAAGAAAATACAGTATTACCACGCTTTACGCGGTTTCACTTAACGCGATTTCTCATATACGCGGTGCCTCGCCAGAACCGAACTTTCATTTAACGCGGTTCATCTACTCATATACGCGGGAAGCGGAGCGGGCACGATGCGCACAAGGTCGCCCAGCCATCAAAACATTACCGAGTTCTTCACCCGCCACCCACCACAGCCGGCCCAAGTCAGTGATAGTGATAATTATAGTGAGGATATGGACTTATATGGACTTTGAGGGGTTTGACAAAGAGGCCCTGCAAGCCTCTGTGGTGGATAGTGATACAATTGATACAGGTGAGGGCCAATAATCTGCCCTCTGCCTCGGAACCAACCCCCCATCCCCGTGTGCCCAGCCATCTTTTCTACTAATGTAAGTGTTAAAAAACCTAATATTATTGATATTTCTCTTAATTATTAATTGTGTGTGCATACCATCATAAAGTTAAGATAATATTTTTACTACAACATAGTTGTGTGTCGTCAAAAAGTGGAGTTTGGGGGTCGGGCCAGGCTCTATTGGAATTAATCCCATATGTTCTGTTGTTCACTTAACGCGGTACCCTGTGGGTTCAATTGACCGCGTAAAGCGTGGTACAACTGTACAGTACTGTATACAGTAATATAAAACTATAAAATAAGAAAAATGACGAGCATAGGTGTGGATATGTAGAGACGGTGTGATCTGTAGCCAAGGGGTCAGGTGTGCTAGAAGTACAGTAAAACCTCGATTAACCGACCACATATGGGTGGAAGGGGCCGACGGATAATCCGAAAGGTCGGTTAATACTGTAGTACATAAAGTCTATGGAAATAAAACATACATTTTCCAAGTACCTTTCCCTAACCTACCTCATTTAATTCCCTCTATTTATTTTTGTACATTTGCCATTCATATTTCAATAGAATTTGCTTTAAAACATTAACCACTTTAGTAAATAAATATGAACCAGCACAGAAACAGTGAATAAAAAATGGAAAAGTCAAAGAACATATGTCATCACAAAAATTGTGACCATGTCCCAGGTTGCTGATCTGACTTTCTACCTCATTTACACACAATTGCAGGGTCTCAATTGCTTCTCTTACTATTACAACACAACATACATAAGTTGTTTCTCACTCTTGATTTTTTTCATTTTTGCATTTATTTATGGTTCTTTATTACTATTATTATTATCACTATCATTATTAATATTATTACATTATCGCCCCCCAGGCCCCAATGTGGGTCAGTGACCTGTGCCCGGGTGGGCTAATCCCTGTAAAAAAAAAAAAAAAAAAAAAAGTTAGGAGTTCGGGATTGACGGTTAATCAAGGGTCAGTTAATCGAGGTTTTACTGTAATAGCACAGAATGGTGAATGAACTTTTAGGTGCTTAAGGGTGATACAAATAATAGCAAATTTTTTTCAGTATCAAGATCAGGTTTCTTAAAAAGTGGACACAATAAAACCTGTTTCTCAGATCACCTGAAATTACCCTCTGCAAAACATTTATTTATGATTCTACAAATAAAGTTTGCAGCCTGTTCATAAGCGAGTGATACCTAAAATACATTTATAGGATAAAGACAGTAAAAAGTTTTCTTTGAATCCTTGATATACTGTAGTGCAGAATGTTGTTCACCCCAAGAGAACAAAATATGAAAAAGTAAGGTCTATGGTGTAACTTGGTTGAAATTCAACTGAAAATTCCTCATATAAAGAAACTCCATCAAGGTCATTTTTTATACGTGATATCTTTGCCATAAAAAACAAGGGAAAATCTGTGGCAAGCTTAACACCTGAAGTGAAAGAAGGCCCAACAGCCCATTCATAACTGCCTATAATTTTTGCTGATCACTGCCACAAGAGGCTATTTGACTTCTGTAGTATGTAACTCTGCCTGCCCTTACTGAACATACAACAGCCCTTCTCGCAGTCATATAATTTGATATAGTATGGTCTGTTCACCGTCTGTACCACTCTTATTCAGCACTTCTACGATCCCCATGAAGAGAACTTATAGACGAATCATAACAAGAAGAGACATCTCTTACTGTAATTCTCGTGACCTCTGGACAATAAAAATCTGCAATGGACTGGAAGAGATCATTATGTAATTTAACCATCTCCTCGGAGGACAAATCAGAAGAGTTGACCCAGTTCAAAGAATGATTGACTTCCTCATCAATCAAGGGTCAGTGTTTCTATAGTTCCAGAAAGTAATTGTTTTACTCCAAGAAAGGAGTCTTGGGATATTAATACCAAAAGTAACCAAACCACGGTCAGGCACTGAAATGGATCGATCAGATCAACTTCAACACCTAATACATGATCACAGTCAGCAGGAGACAAAACTAGGTCTAGACTCTAGAGTGTCTAGAAAGATGTGTTGAACACAACACATGATTGAAATGTGTTATCAAGACAAAAATTAAAGTCACCACAGATCAACCATTGCCCATTCTTTCCTGAAAGTCTTAAGAAACAAGCCAAATTCATCCATGAACTCTGTATCTGTACTTGGGCGACCAGGACGAAAACAACAGCAATTGACAATGAAGATTTATTAATGCCTCCATAAATTCAAAGGAGGAAAAAACAGTCACTCTTTATCAGTCTAATTTTGAGCAGGACCACAGAATAAATCAGCACCACTCTACCACCCTTACAGCAGGTCTGGGAGCATGAAAGAGAGAATGTGTCTTAGGAAGAGCACTACGAATAATGTTGATGTCCGATTCATACAACCACATTTGTTACATAGAGGATATCCATGCTGAACTCCCTCAGAAACTCATTAATGTGATGCATTTTATTTTGGATCACATGGATATTAAGCAGACCTACTTTTAAGAGGCTCAAGGAGGGCATTCTGCATTTTCTGAACTAGTATAGTCAGTGTTTTCAATTACTTTTTTTACATTGGGAAGTCATCATATGGCAATCTTTACTTGATACAAAATGACTGACTTGGGTGGTCTTATTTAAGTATATCTTAGACTCATGACTGCCTGCACAGAAGGTACAAACTGGAGAACCAGGCTTCCTGGGACAGCCTGATTAAAACAAGGAGTCCAAATTTTTGGCAGTGGTAACATTGAGTGACCCAAAACCTATCATAAACTTTGCATCTGTTCAGTCCAACACAAACATAACCTTGAAATTTCTCTATGGTAAAAATTTATGGATCAATTATACATTTAATGCATTGACAAAATTGACTGTACAGTGTTAGACATTTTGTACTACTCCTCCTACAATTAAAAATCTGTACTGTATGTCTTTTACTATAAGTAGGTATGAAATGTATCAACCACGTTACTGTGCCGATAGAACTGTAATAATATTTCATAACAATGTGCTCATCCATTAGTTCTGTATTCCCCTTATACTAATACATGTAGTTGTATCTTATTTCTTGTTGAAATGTTCTTGTCATACAGAAAGCAGTTGAGCCTATACAAGAGAAAGTACCAAAAGGAGAGAGAACGGAGGAAACGCATGGAGAAAAAACTATCTCGTTTACAAGAGCAATTAAAAGGGTTTCACCTTTTAGACGAAGAGACAGTTTCTCACATTGAAGCATGCTTCTTGAAGTTTCAGACATTTTTAAGTCATTTACAAAATACTGAGTAAGTAACACTTACTATTTTCATTTTTCGCATTTAAATGTTTAAACCAAGAAGTATAGTACAGTACTTTACAATTTTACTTATAAATAATGCTACATTATTAAGGGATGTTAATCAACTCATTTCATAGGAGTTCTTAAATGTCATGAGTCATAATTCTTGAGTCAAATGGAATTGGGCATGGGTAAACACTGCAGCTGAGTGGTCTTTTTACTAATTGCATTTTCTTTGTACAGAGTTTGGCAGTCATCCTTATTCCAAGATTTAAAGAGAAGGAATGTGGCCAATGATATATTACAACCCAGTATTTGCCCATCAGTTACATTTGGAAATTTGCACAGCAACAAATCTTGGGCATCCAACAAGAAAGTGCAAAATTCTCATCATTCTTTAACTATTCCTATTCCAATTATATTAAATAATAAACCATGTGCTGAAGACGAACTGTTTTCCAGTGAACAAGTTTTGGAAATTAATGAGGTGAAGACTGGGAAAATCATGCAGACTCCTGGATCTACAAGTTTTACTTTGAATTTGGAACCAACAGACAAGTTAAAAAGCTCAGTAACTGCAAGAAAAGATGACAGTCCTCTAGAAGAGCTTCATGATTATATTCAGGCTGGAAGGAATATGTTATCTCTGCAATCAAATGGTGAGTTGCAAGAAAATGTGACTGGTGGTGGTAATGACATAATACTTACTGAAGATAAGGAAGAAATTTCTGAAGAAGAGGATACTGAGAAAAGGTTTCTTAACGAAGAAGACACCACCATGAAAAAGTTTTCCAATGACAGAGAAGACATAAAGGATTTTTTTCCTAAAGAGGTAGAAAACACTACAAAAAAATGTTCCAGCAAAGTATATGGCAATGGGGAAAAGTTCTCAAACAAAGTAGTAGTCGGTACTGAGGAAAATATGGTATCGTCACTCGATTTAAAAAAGGGATCAGTACAGGAAGGCATAAAAATGAAGTTAAATAAAAAAAGTGCAAGTGGTAAGAATGACTGTAATACAGTCAACACAAGTTCTGTAAATAAAGATAAGCCAGTGATGAAGGAGAATGAGTTGCTTATGGCCAATTGTGAAAAAGAATATGGTAGTAATACTGAAAAACATGAAGACCATGTAAATAAACAAGATATTTTTAATAAAACAAGGGATAATGTTGAAAGTGAAACTGATTGGATTGATTTAAAATCCAAAAATCCAAAGGATAATACACATGGCAGGGATTTTGTAAAGGCAAATAATACATTAACAAACTTAAATATGAGAGTACCTGACAGGCATGATAATGTGAGCTTTAAACAAAAATTTTCAGGTAAAGAAAAAAGTACTTCAGCAAACACCACAAAATCTGTACAAGTTAATACATTTCAGAAACTTGCTAATGAAATTCAGTTTAGTTATGAGGATACAGTTAATGGAAGACAAATTTCTCAAATAACTGAAAATTTTCAAAATAATGATGTTAGTGAAACTGATGATGAGAAACTTAAAATGCAAAAAACTACCTTTATTTGGTTAAACAGAAGTGGGTCAGGCTCATCCTCAGTAAGTATCACAGAGCACCTCAGTCATTCTCACTCACACTGGTCTAAGTCATCCCAAAAGAAACCAAACAAGCATGGATCTTCAGAACACAGTTCAGATATTGCACCTCAACTTGAGATGCCTGGAAATAAAGGTGATGATGAAGGCAAGTGTGATGGTTTTAAATTAAACAGTCCTTCACCTGCTGCAGTACAGAATGATAATGACCTTGTGGAGTATGACAGTGATTTTGAAATAAGTGATGTTGAAGGACTGAGTATCTCGCCCTCATCGTTAGCTTCCACATCCATACCCGATGATCTGCTAACTCCAGGAGAAGAAGAATTTTAAGTGTATGTTGTGATATACAGTACAGTAATTCCCATATCTTAAAAGAAGTTATACCTGTATAATGAAAGAGCTATTAAGACACAAACCATGCAAGATAACATAAAACTTGTGTAATAAAAATGGTTAAGTCACAATACTGTAGAGATAGATATATGGCATAGGCTGAGCTTTCTAGTGGAAAAATAGGATACCTGTACTGTGTGAATACTGTGCCTTAGAATTTTTTATCATCTAGATATTACATCAGTATATTTAGTATTGCAGTGTGCTGTAATGAATATTGTATGTAGTTTCTTTTAATTGAAGCAATATAGAATTGTGGCTGCAACATTTTATGCCTTTATATTATATTTCACATTCAAGTAAATTTGCAGTGTATTAATACTACATTCTGGTATCATGTACTGTGAATTATATCAGCAACTGTACAATAATAAAAAAAAAAAAAAAAAAAAAATTCACTCTTGCAAGTCGCCTTCCATATTGTTTGTTTAAAGCTTTATCCTAACAGCATTTTTTTTCTAGTCAGGACTAGTCATGTCTTTATATACCTTAATAGCTTTATTCATAACAATTATGGGTAAGTGTTAATTATAACTGTTACAGAATGATGTTACTTAGCAAATTCAATGGGCTGCAGTAATATTTAAAAAATAAAAATAAAATAAAATAAAAACTAAAATCATACACTGTACAGTATCTCAAAATCATACTCTCTTCCTGTTTACCCTGGGTGGAGCAGGTACACTAAGCCTCAAAAGAAGTTTATGATGAAAGAGATTATATTGAGATTTGAGAAATTCTCTTTTGTGTCTGGAAAAAGATGAGGATGTGGCATATGCAATGCCAATTGGCCCATAATGCCAATTAAGCTAATGCCTATGTTAATTTACTAATAAGTGAGAGTGGTGGTGGACAGCAAGTCAAGTTTCTCAAAAACAGCTCAATGAGGCCTTGGTTTGAATAGGCAACATATACAGTATTGCAAAACATCAAGTCCTGGAGATCTTTACAGCGTAAAATTTTTGGTTCGCTCTAGAGCAGGGGTTCTCAACCAGGGGGGAATTCAGGTTTTCAGGGGGGGGGGGAACTGATTCGGAAGCAAGAGATATGTTCGATGAGAAATCAATCACAGAATTTTGGCCCTTAATGTGCGATTCCTACCCAAAAGTGGCAGAAAAAGCTATCCGTGCATTGCTTCCGTTTGTGTCGACATATCTTTGTGAGTCAGGCTTTTCAACTCTGTTGCAAATTAAAACGAAGCAACGTAGTAGATTAGAGGTAGAAAATGACCTGCATTGTGCCCTTTCAAGCACTCCTCCGCGTATCCCAGAATTGGCGAAGAAAAAACAATCACAGGTTTCTCATTGACTGTAATCTTCATCTGAATAAAATTAATTACAAATTTACAATATCCTGGTATTCTATTGAACTTTTTGTTTATTGCATTATGCTTCAGTTTGGTCTGTTAAGTAATTCATTATAAATATAAAAAACTATTTTACTTTTATTCAAGTTTTATAAATCCATCAACATTTTCAATTGGCATTTAATTTGTAAAACTCCACTATAAAAATAATCCATGTAAAATTGTAAATGTATATGTACTAATATGGAAAAAATAAAGGATTTTCAGTATTATATGCATATTATTTGGAATGCACTTTTTGAGGCAGACAATCTTGGAAAGGAGGGGCGAATGACATTCTGACATACTGTATGGTGAAAGGGGTGCATGGGGCAAACAAGGTTGAGAACCACTGCTCTAGAGAGAGGAGGGCAAACCCACATGGGATACATTGCTACCCCTCATGAAGCCAGATCATAATAGCTCCTCTACAATCTCTCCTTTGTGAAATACAGGTCTCAATTTAGCTTCCCTTTCATGTCATTCTGTATCCTTCCCCTCCTCTATTCTACAACAATATTAATAGTAAAAACTCCACTGAAATTCAGATGGTCATTTCAATCCAAATCTGTATATTAGCCTAAGGTCATTTTGCAAGATAGGGACCTAGAGCCTTTGCAAAGTACTAAACCACAATGTAATTCAATATCAATTAAAGGGTTATGTACCAGGCCTAAAAACTTCACCAAACAATCCATAAACGGCGTATTTACTTAATAAACACAATCGAGAAATGTACAACATTCTGGTACACCACGAAAAACCAAGAGAACTGTACAAGAATTAATAAAATTTAAAAAAGAAAGAAAAAAGAAAAAGAGAAGTTATTCAATACAACACAGTCAGCTCCACCTAACTGACCCAGTAATGGATGACAGTTATGCACATTAACAAGCAACTTGGACTTTTTTCTATAGAAGATACATGCACTTGGGGGGGGTTGGTTAAGTTTTTTGTATAATACTTATTTTACAATATCTTCCTTGGACGAAACAAAATCTGATAGATATAAACATTGCAGCTATTGCATCATAGTTGCCAGGCATATGTTCAGAAGAGAAAAAGTGTAATGTACAGTAATAAAAGATTACAAAAAACTCATTCCTTCCCATTTTGGGGCACCTTCTATAGAAAAAATCTCTTAAGTTATGAAAGTCATGCAGTATTGCCGATTTGGCATACAACTGACTCGGTTCCTGACGCCACACTGTACTGTATCTGCCTACGTCAACATACCTACAAAAATGAAACAAAGGTTTTCTAGCACACTTAAATAAAACAAAAATTATTTGTGTTTACTGGAAACATGAAAAAATAAATATATACAGTGGTCCCTCGGTTAACGAACACAATTCGTTCCACAGAGTCGTTCGTTAACCGAATCCATTATTTCCATGGGATATTGGGTAATTGGTTCCAGCTCACAGAAAAGTACATACTGTACAAAGTAAAGCCAAAAATCTTTTATTTCTTTTTTATTTATTGGGCACCCCCCCTACATCCTGTGCAAGGTGAAGAGCAGAAGCACCTACAGCGCCCAACTGGGAAGCATGCTAAGTTCATGCTTGCCTTTATGTCTCATGAGTTAAGGGCGTAGAAGCCTGAAGGGTCATAGTTTTTTTGTCAAGGGCATAGAAGCCTGAAGAGTCACAGGTTTTTGTCAGTAAGTTATTGGAAGCTCCAACAACTTTCCCTGAATACGAATTCGCAACTTTTCAATTTACAACAGGTACCTACTTTACTGCTAGGTGAACAGGGACCAAGGGAGGCTGGGAAGTGTGTCCGAACAACTTTCCACCGGCCCGGGAATCAAACCCGTGACATCTCGATTGCGAGGCAAGAGCAGTATCGCTCTACCACCAGCGCCCCGTTTTAATGTTTACTTGAGGTGCGATGTATGAGTAAGTACAATGAGTTGACCTTTCCCCTAAAAAAAATAAATAAATAAATATATACAGTAAATAAAAAAATATAAAATAAATAATAAAATATATACCCGGTATACTGTATATATACAGTACATACTGTATATACTGTATTAAAAAAAAAAAATAATCCCACCTTGACCACCAGACTACAGTACAGTATTGTCACCAAACCTGACATAAGAGAAGGTGGATGATACATTGTACACTTCTTAGCTTAACCTTCCTTTTTGGAAAACATCATACGCTGTTATGTCTACTTATATGTACATTATCTCAAAAAGTCTCCGTCCACACTCTGTATGAAACATTATGAGAACACAGATGATAGATATTGGGATATATGCATTCCTGTCTTGTATAGTTTAACATAAGTAATTAAATGTGTATTTATATCGGCATAATTAATATGATGTTTGGTTACCAAATGTAGTAGTACGTATCAGTATGCCACAGAGCCACACATACCAACCCTCCCGAGACATCACAAGTGGCATGTAGCATTTCGGACGTCATTGGACCCATCCTGGCAGATACTTTTTTGAGATACTGTACTGTACATCAAATCTCCTTACTGTTGGACATCCTTCTAAACCACAGAGAAAATTATTAACTTTCACAAAAATATATACTGTATACAGTATATATGAACTGATGACTATAGATACTGTATAATATAAGGTGAACATAGGAGATGACTACAATATTATACTTCATTTAGTGATCCTTCTCTTTTATTTTTTTATGGGTTTGGCCATCTCTGATGAGATTTAACTTTTGTCTATTAGAAACATCCAAAAAGGATATTCTTGCAGGTTGTTTATTTGTTTGAATTCTCTTACTATTTCTTCTTCTTCACTATTTTCATAAGAGGTCTGTCAGTTTGAAAAATAACATTGCATGTGGTACAGAGTGGTACTGCTTTGCAGTAAACAGATAGACAGTTGGAACAAACATTTCCCATGTCTACTAGTGTGCGGTGACAAAAACAAGCAGCCCGATAATCAACACTGTCTGGTGGAGGAACATTTAGTTTCTTTCGCGTTACAACATCTGCTTGGTACATCAGTATGAGGCACTGAAGCAGCTCTGACACCTGAAAAGTTTATTGTGCATCAGCATACAAGTCATTTTTTTTTAATATTAAGACATGCATTTTTTAGCATAGAAAAAGGGCAGGGTGACATGAGACAAATGTCATTATCAAATATATTCACTAAGATGTCACCTTTTCAAAGACTGAAGATATCTGAAGTTGGACAGTTAGAACTGAAGGAGGCTTTATGATTAAAAAAAACAACACTCTGTGGCAGAGGGTTCTAGTGTGCAGATTTTCAATAGAATTTCAACAGAAGAGGCAAGGGCCCTCCCAGCTGTCCTTGTATGGTGATGGAAGGTGAGTGGTGATGACACTCCGAGTGTAGCTCACTCGTTAGTTCACCAATTGTGATAGCAGTGGAACCTCAATAATCCAGCATGACTGGGACCAAGCTGTTGCTGTATTTCATGATCTTCTGGTTTTTATAGTACCTGTACTGTAATACAGTACAGGGTAATACTCTGCTACACCTTTATCCAGGTTTGAAATACATTTCCAAATTTTTTGTTTTTAATTGTCAGCAAAACATGCTTGCATTTCATCACTCTAGCAACAACGTACCATCTATGGGACAGTAGTACACTATTTTATTGGTAGCCATTATCAGGGAAAAACAAACGCTAACTTTTTCATTGTAATAGAGAGGTGTCACTATAAGCTCAAAGAGTGGAAAACAATGACTAGACTGGAGCACATGCAACCAGTATCACACAAAACAGCATTAGCCCCAAGAACTACTGCCACGTGTTCTGAATATGTGAGGTCTTCCTCAATATTAAAATTTTTGGGAATATTGTAAAAATTATATCAGTTTCTGGAGAATTCCCAAATAAAAATTGACAGATTACTAATGTTTCACTGATCTATAGGATCTATAGAAAAGGAAAAATTATGAGATATCCCTGTCAATGTGCAATACTGGAAATTTTCTTGCAAGATCATTATTGTTGAACGATTTGAAAGCGTACATCTACACAAAACTGAAGAGTTGAAGTGTCCCAACAACACCGAGCCCACAGGTGACAGCAGTATTTCCACCTGACAGTCTTACAAAAATGATTGCCACTGTTCACACGTTAAACAGGGCCTGGCTCTGTATAGAATCTAAACTTAATTAAACCAATTGTGGCTAATCTTCCTACAGAGATGAGGATGTCTGCTGCCTGGTTAAAAAAATATGATCTTGTGAGATGAGGGCAGTCAGAGTGAAAGGTCTATGGAGGCTTGAACCATCTGCATAAGAATTAATAACTTTTTTTGACACTGAAAGAATATCATTAATGCATAAAAAGAGAAAAATTGTAGTATAGAACACTAGGGGGCGCCAGAATGGATAGAGCGATGGTCCCAAAAAAGAATGCCCAGAACTAGGCACATTCTGTAACGGTATAGAAAAGATGAAATATAAGAGACTAAGGAGGGAGGAATGGGACAGTTGTGCAAGTGAATATCAATGCCAAACTCTGTCAACTATGGAGATATCAAGTTCCATTGCATGGGTTTTGTCAGATCAGCCGAGAGCACCCACTAGAGACGTAAAGTCACCAGCATACTGAAGTTCATTGATGAAAGTGGCCAATACCTTCAGTTGCTAATGTTAAAAAAGTCCTTTCACCTAGTTTTGAATGTCCACTCCATAGCTAGATGAATGTTGGCATGGGTAGTGGAGGTAATCATGAAAATGGTAAAGAAACTGGCACCAATAACATCCTTGATTGGGTGCCACTATGAAGGATGCTGTCATCCATGCTATCATGGAGTTGACTCACAATGGTGTTGAATTTTGATGGGATGCCAAAATGTCTGAAGGGTCTCAAAAGGACTTCATTGCTGATGAAATAAAATGTCTCAATGAAATCAATGAAAGCTGTGTACAGATCACAGTGCTGGTCTCTGATCTTCTACTGTATCTAGCAAGCAGCAAAGATCATGTCAAGGGAGCTGTGAGATGGCCTGAAGTTTTACTGAGACTCCGAGGAAGATTTCTAACTCGAGGAGCTTGATAAGGAAGATGAATGTGAGAATCTTGCCAGCTATGGACAGCAGTGATATCTATTTGTTGATGATGTAGTCTGATACACCTCCCTTGTTCTTAAATAACTTGATGATGGAGGTATCTTTGAGGTCTTGAATATGAGTAAAAAATAATACACAGTGATATACCTGTTGGCCAGAACATTTGGTCCAGAGCATCTCTGGGAATGAGAGATTCCCAGTAATGAGAAGACTCTCTCAAACCCAGAAAAAATCCCCTATCCCTGGAAATTTTCCAGGTACAATACTGGGAAAAGCTTCTCAGAATTTTCTGGAAATTGTGCATTATTTCATCCCAGACATGAAAAAAAAAAAAATTTAAATTCCTGTAATTTTCTTATATTTTTCCAGAATTACACATTATATTCCATCCTCAAAATTTGCTCCCAGACCTAGAAAAAAAAAAGGGGGGGGGGTCCGGAGTTTTTCTTGAAATTTTCAGAAAATAAGCCTGATTTTGAACCTCGGAATTTGTTCCCAGACCTGGAAAAAAATGGGGGGAGTTCTCAGAATTTGTCAGAAAATAGACCTCATTTTCAAACTTGGAAATTTTTCCCCAAACCCGGAATTGAGAGAAATTTTCAGGAAAATTTCAGAACAAATTTAAATTCCGGCTATTGGAGTTCCAGCCAAGAGAGATTTTGTCTAACAGAGATATTACTTTAGATCCTAAATGTTATAATATGTTATCTTCATAAAAGCAATACAATAATTAATGTTTCTGAATTTGTTTTTATTGAATTAATGTACGTGTGCAAAATTAACAATACAATTTATTAATAATACGTGGAATATTAGAGGAGACGAGACGGCTGCCGGCATTGTTTATGTTAAAGCTTACGAAACCAGTGACTGATTGGTTCTACATATAAAACTGAAGAAAATAAGACCCTGAGTTTAGCTGTAGTAAAATTAATGTAAAAAAATGAATATGGTTGTTTGAAGTACCTGTAATGTTATTTAATGTTAATAAATGGAACAATATAAGTAGCTAACCATTAATGGTAAAAAAAAAAAGTGAGACTGCTCGTATGTAAGTGCGCACATGTGAAAACATATCGTCATTACTCTACATAAGAATATGAAAGCAACACTTATTTACTGCTCATATATATTGAAGGGTTAAATGTTGTACTCTGTATAGACAAGCAGAGAGAGAAGCCGAACTGCCGGATGTAAACAAACCTTAATTTCCCGCAGCTTTGTTGTTGTTTTTTTAAGGGGATTAGCCCACCCGGGCATAGGTCACTGACCCACATTGGGGCCTGAGGGGCAAAAATTTAATACTCCTGTAATAATAATAATAATAATAATTCAGATTAAAAAAAAAGAAGAAAAAAAGCTGCCTATCTACCTATTGGACAAACTAAAATCGTTCCGGACCACGGGAGTTTCCGGACCACAGAATGCCGGACTAGAGAGGTACAACCTGTAGTGAGAAATGATATACAGTATGTACAGTACATACAGTGTGTTGTCAAAGTAAGAGAAACAATTGAGACCCTGCAATTGTGTGTAAATGAGGCAGAAAGTCAGATCATCAACCTGGGAGTTGGTCAAAATTTTTGTGATGCCATATGGCAGCAGGGTCTACCATTAGACAACAGGCATCCGCCTGGGCTGTACACAAATCTTGTTCAGTATAATGAATGATAATATATGGCAGGCCCCTTCATCACTAGATCCAATTTATCTTAATATAGGGTACACCGCATGTACTAAATGAAAGAGTGGCAAAAAAGATTGACTACAGATAAATAAGGTAATAATTGTAAAATAACATTTAACCTTAGGTCCGTCTGATTCACTAGCAGAGCTGGCAGACCACTAAGTGAGAGCTGCAGTTATTTAGAGCCTATTATGTTGTATGACTCTTAAGACTGGAGTAAGAAGAACTATTTTGGCTTGAATGGGTTTAAAATGCAGCACTTTCTCAAGGCAACCACTGAGTTTGGTATTTGAAGTAATGCCTTTACCTTGGTTTTCTGGACAAGGAGCTGTTTTGCAGCATAATGTACTGTCTGCCTAGCGAATGTGTCCTGTTGCTAAGCATGTCACAGCCATATGGCAAGCTCTGCCAAAGGGTGGTTTAGTGGTATAGAACTAAAAGGATGCTCAGTGATGACTCTTAGGTATAAATTGAGGGTTGTCCAGCAAGTAAACACAATGGGGGGAATTTTTAAAAGGAATTAGAAGAAATAAAAAAACAGTACAGGATATAGCTAATAAAAACACAGTACAGTACTGAGAAAGGAGAAATTGAAATTCCTGGATTTTTTTGTAAGGGCTGATGATGAGTTTTATGCCAATACTTTTTTTTTATGTGGTAGAGCCCACCCGGCCACAGGTCATCAACCCCTAGCGGCCTAGGGGGCAAATAAAAGAGTAAAAATAGAAAAGAAAAAGATTATATTAATCTACACCTCGAAGATGCTGGAAAACCAGGTATTTGAAGTGAGACAGATTGTATGAGTTTGGAAACACAGAAGAAGGCAGAGCACTCCACAGTTTGGTTGTGTGAGGAAAGAAGGATGTACTATAACGGGTTATTCTAGTGTGACCGGCATCCACAGAGATATGGTGGGCACAGCGGAAAGACGAGTGTTCTGAGCCACGGCATTACAGCACACAGGATGCCAAATCTATCGAACACTGCCCGTTAAAGTACCTGTAAGAAGAGAGTGAAGCATTGGCGAAGAAAGGGAAGAAAGATTATCAACTAAAGGAGGAGAGTTAATAAGACGAAATGCCTTTGATTACCTATCTAACAGTTGGACAGAAGAAGAGCCACCCCAGATATGAAAGCAGTACTCCAAGTTAGGACAAATGAATCCCTTATATACTTGAAGCAGCTGCTCAGGAGTGAAGTAGCAATGGCATCTGTACAGCATTCCCAGCTTTTGGGAGGCAGCTTTAGCAATATGCAAGTCTAAATAACAGATCCATTAAAAATAGTTCTTCACTGTACTTATTCATCAAACAAAGACCAAAGGCATGTACGAAATTCAATTAAGTTTCTCTACACAGAATAAAACATGTAAATTCCTTACCTCTTGAACACAGTGATAGTAACCACCACTGATATCTGCACCTTGTTGCAACAATCCACAATCACTTCCAATTACACAGACATCAAGTGGTGTGCTAATCTTCTGTGCAGTAAGATAGGTATTAATGTAATTCAGGTACTGACTTCCTGTATCCACTGTAAGAAAGGTAAACAAGATTAAGTCCTTAAAGCATCATTATTACAACTGTTCACACTGGAATGAAAACTGTTAATCTTTCAAATAAATAAAAGTGTGATCCTGGAAACCCTATTTTATAACAAAGTCAGGACTAAATCAGGTCAATGGGTTTTAACTAGGGGTGTGCATTTTTAACCAGTTCTGATTAAAATTGAAATTCAGATGGTGGTGTAAATCAGCACATGCCAATGATGAGCCATTAAGCTAGGGGATCTGGTCCGGGGAATTTTGTAACATTCTGACAAATTGTTTCACATATTCTTTATACTCTTCAATGACATAATTATGTTACCTTTGAGTAAACTAATTTTTATTAAAAATAACTATACAGTAGATACTGCAATGATATGCTAGAAATGGTAAACTGCACAAAACAAATAATAATCAGTGCGACCTTGAGCTCAACACTAGCGACAAGCATAAAATTTTATTTAAAATGTAAGGTTCTTGTGGAACATAAATTAAAGTGTGTTAGCTTTATGTGCACAAGTTATTCTGTGATACAGTTGAGTCTTGATAGTTAGAGGGTTAGGTACCAGAAGACATCATAAATTATCAAATCACGAATTATAGTTTAGTTGATCTAAACGGAAATACAGTACTGTAATCAGTTTGGTTCCAGAGGCCAAGAAATATCCATAAACTGTTCCAAAACTGCTTTACTAAACATTGTACAAAATACATAGAAAAAATAAAATAACAAGTATCGTATTAAAAGTAGTTCTATATTACATAAACACAGCTCCTTCCTTTCTCATAATTTTGTGAGTTATTCCAATAGAGCAACATGGAGACAGGCAGGCGTTGAGCTGCTGTGACCACACTATGTCAACAAAGAACCAGGAATTTAATACCACACAATAACTCATCTGGGGTTGAGTGTGGGATATTTTTTATGAAAATTTATTACTTTACGATAATGTTTTCTTAACCCAGTACCAAAATGAGCCTAAATAATGGGAATTACGGTGAAATTGCATAATGTTGTATTAATGAGGTTGGAGGGATGCTGAGCATTCAGGAACGAGAGGAAGGAAGGGGACGCTCAGTCCACCAGCCAAACTCAATACCTCCCACACACAATACACTTAATGTACTACTCTTCATTTTTCTTATCTTATAGTTTTATAACATACTTTCTTAATTTCTAAGTAAACACTGTAGCATTAAAGAGTATTTACATTATACACTGTATTTTCTTTATTTCCAAGGAAAATTAGAGTAATGAAATTATATTTCCACAACTTTTTTGGTTTCTTTTGCAAATAAACACTGCTGCAGCTGGTAGCTCAACCCCGAATTATAAATATTTGACCATGCAATTTAAAAAAAGTAGTAGTACTGCAAAAGAGGTAACCGCAAATTTAAGAACACAAATTTGTATTTCGCATATTTGACTCCACTGTACAGTACATCAATATAAACTTCCTCTAATTTGTGCAACATATAGTACAGTAGTAAGAAAAATATGGTCGTTTTTGCACCATTACAAGATAAATTTTCATTAACTGCTAAATATTTGTTAAAAAAATAGACAAATGGTTCGGTGATCCAATCAAAATTGAACAACCAGTTTGGGCGAATTGGCCCCAACACACCTGGTTACAACCATGCCAACCCTTCCCATTGATGACTGCCACTAAAAACAGTTCAAGGTACCAAATACTTGTACTTTTTAATCTATATTTAAATATCTTAATATTTGGCAGGTCTGTATTGAAGAAAAATAGTACAGTACAGTAATTCATACACAGGCAAGTTGAAGGATATTCAGAAATGTACAATCAAGGATAAAAGTTGAGGTTTTGTCCGAAGATTAAATATAACTCGTGAAACATTATGAGAGCCCTAACACAAGGCAGAGAGCACCAAAAGTTTAGCCCTTCGGCATATGTTTTCACCAAATTTCACGACACGACTTTTGTCTTTCATTGTACATTACAAAAGCTTGGTGGTGAGTCAGGCTGTACACATATATCATAAACAAAAGGTTAGGTTACCAAATACTACACAGTTCTGTACTGTACAGTATAGTGAACCAAAGATAATAAATAAATGCTATCTGTATAAAATAAAATGTATTCATGTTTATACAAACTACAACATGAATAATAAACACTTACATGAAATTTTAACAACCAAAATTCTTGCATGAACTTTTTTTCCCAACACATCTTCTGTTTCTTGCCGCTTGATGTACAAAAGACCTCTGCCTATTGCCCCAGAGATAAGAGACTCTGTCTGGTCAGCCTTTGGATCTGGCACAATCATATTTCTTAACTCCCTTTCAATGCTCTCATCTACCTGGCACAGGAGTTCAAGTCTACCATCCTTCTGTCGGTCAACCTAAAATGAAAATTTAATATGTCAAGTTATAAACAAAGAACAAGATTTAATCCAAGCACATCATTCCAATATTCCTTAAACTATTCACACTAATCAGTGGTATATAAGTTTCTGAAAAGGGAGGGGGGAGGGACACAAGACTTGAATAGAGGATATTATTTACATTAATTCCATCCAGTGGTGTAAGCAGGGGGTGAGTGTAAGCCATACAGCTGAGGGAGGGACTCTAAGCCCCCTGCAAAAATTTAAAAATTTGACCAATTTCAGGAACTTTTTGAGGCCACCTGCATGAATAGTAGGACATTTTATGGCCAATATTAGTACTTCATCCCAATGGCATATGATTCAATCACTCAAACTTTTCAATCTGTTTATTTTTTATTATAATTTTACATGTTGAATGAGTTGAGGGCAGTAGCAAAAGTGGGGGGTGGTTCCACTGTCACTAATCAATATTTATAAAATGTGTCATCTGACAATTTTCCAGATAGCTACCATATTTTATGGCATATAAGATGCATTTTTTGTCTGAAAAATGGCAAAAAAAAATCAGCCTGCATCCTGTATGTGAAGTTGCTGTCTCACATATGCTAATGAATCCCCCAGCTGCTGTCTCCAGTAGGCTAAATTCTACCTAACCCAACTCCAGAATTAAAAATATGTATGTTTTTGCTTACTTAAACATATTATTATTATTTTTAATTAATTATAGAAATAATTATTGTAAATACAAAATCTTGATTTATAACTACTGTAATGATGATGATAACCTGAAAGGATTAACGTCTGTACGGCAGACACCCAACTCTTCAGAGATAGCTAAACAGTAACCATTTCTGAACTCTTACAAGCATTACAATCTATTAATGACGCACATGCAACACAAATTTTTAACTGCAAATACCTGATACAAATGAAGACTTACAATGAACTTTCTTTTCACATTTGCATCTGTTAACATTGCTGGCAGAATTGTAGCCAGGTTAGACTCATCACTGTAACCACCAGACTACTGGGCCAAGCTGTGAGGTGTTATGGTTGCTTTTCAACTCGTCATTTTGGATAGATATACGTAACTTTCTTCATTTTATTTTACTCTGTTACATGCACACACCATCCAACATAAATATTGTGAAAAAGTAAAAGAAATAATAAATGTCCTAAGGGCAAACACAAAGAGATGATACATTTCACCTTTTACGGGATAGCTGGCTCAGTAAGGGAGTGGGAGGCAGCGAGGCGTGTGGGGAAGGAGTGTTGATAGGGAATAGGTGGAGTAAGCGTCTCCGTTGCTATGGTGAAACAGGGGTGTATGCAAATGGCGACTGCGTTAAACTTTCATTTGGTTTTTATTTACTGGCTTTGTAATACAGTATTTTTTGTTGCAACTTATTTATTGGTATTTTTTTATTTATTGCTACAGGAGGAAAATCCACACAAAAGTTTTGTTTTAAATATCCTGTGCTCACTGCTAAAATGAGGGGTGCATCTTATATGGCCATGCTTCTCATATACAGTAAAATATGGCAATTAAATGTTCAATAATTATTAAGTTTAATAATTGCCAGGCAAAATCAGTGTTCTGAATGGTTTGGTAGTCATTTATGGATAAATTTACAGTCAATGAATCTTCTGTATAATATATGCCTTGAAAAAGTTCCCTGGCCACTGCTTTCACTTCAAGCAATACAATTTCAGCTTAGCAATATATCTAACCATCTATAATTTAGTGACACTCCAGTGAGTCTCCATAAACTTTAGGAAACTGTTTAAACAACAGATTTAGCAATGGACCATAGGGGTGGGTACAAGGCCAGGTTTTGATTGGTCCCTAAAGTGTCTAATTGGGTTTCCATTAATTAGGCTATGAACATACATATACCCGGTACACTTGAAAATCAAATGTTGAAGCAAGATGTCCAAAAACTGCACAGGCAAGTACCTAAAACCACAGTGCAAAACATTAAGCCAGGCATTTTGCTTCCTTAGTATAAAAAGGGTAGCTAACAGATGAACAAATGTTTTCTCGCAGAAGGTTGTATCTGGAATGAAGGATGGAGCAATAACTGCAAAGTTTCATGAATCATTAGCTTGCAGTCTTTAAGTGGTAGTTGGGGCTAGGTTTGCTATGGGGATGTTTGCTACTCTTTGGGTTTCTTGGATCCAACTCCACAGGCACTGGCTCCCTTTTGCACATTTCATTCTGAACTTTTGCAAGATCATGAAAATCAAGGTACATGCCATCTGTGTGTAATATCACCAAGCAGCTTAACAAGTTTATGAAGAGGACAGGAAATTAAATAGGAGTCAGTAATTAACTGTCAGGTAAAAGTCATATTATGCCGAATGTAAATGATTGTTGTCAACATGCTGGTAATCCAGAGTAAATAAATACAGGGTATTAAGTAAAAATAAGGACAACTCTTTCTTCATGGCTGATGCATTATTCTGATACTGTGGCACCATTATGAACATGGAAACAGTAAACTGTACATGGCAATGATGATGAAATTCTATTTCTGTAAAACTTGGCCTACAGCATTTGTAATGGTTGTTCAAGTCCCTTTCATTATGATAAATGCTTGATACTAATGTTATTTACCGTTTTTCCTGTAATCTGAGGATAAAGGAATCTAGTTTCCAGGTGATTGGCTGCAATAACAGCAAGTGTGTTCTTCACATTGGCTGCCAGGTGAATATTAGCAAAGGAAATACAGGCACTCAAGTAATTATGAACATTGCTTTCTTGTTCTGCTAACTGGGGGTGGAGATCCACCACCATTACCAATAGACATCCATCACCAGCCATAATCAAATCCTGAAATTAAATAATTTTGATTACATATAGTATGTACAGTATAGTACAGGTAGTTGCCTTGCAAATCTTAAATGTTAGAAGGCAGGGGTCCTTTGAAGGATGCAAGTTTTAAATTGATTGGGTTTTATGACCTTATATCTATCCTAAGGAATTCATATTGCACCATACCAAGACTACCCTTAAAACATTGGTGGCTGGGTTTACAATAACCCAATAAGGTGCTACTATAGTATGCGGTCTACCAAACTGGAGCTACTATAGTATGTAGTGTACCAGGATATTTAGATTGTAGTATCCATTAACCTAACCTAACCTAGGTTAGGCTAAGTTAGGTTAGGTTAATATACACTACAGTGTATATATCCAGGTAGACACAACACCAGCTCGGTAGACCACATATTTTAGAAGCACCCCAATAATTAGTTACTTTGTTTTGTTGACACTAAAGCCCTTAAAAAGGAGTCATTGGAAAAGGCAGTCATCAATTAAGGTTGAAAGCCCCCTTGTCCTTTTATTGTACAGTACAGTATAAAAAAGATTATTGTAGACATTCTAGTCTCTCTTGGTAAGGGAGGTGTCAGTGCCAGCACCTGTTTGGTAGCCCTCCTATGGACATTCTCAACCAACTGGCAGTCTTTGGCATATCTTGGAAATGAAACAGGTTTCCAATTCTCCAAGTGATGTAGCACTACACCTTTGAAACATTATTATAGATACAGAAGATCATCGACGTATATGTAGGCTCATTGTATTAACCCAATTTATTTGTTAAGAACACTCATGTTTTTCAAAATGATCCAAAACCCTCCTTTTATCATGTACACAAACCTGTCAGCCTGTCAACTATTGCCATGACCGGTTTTTTAGCCTAACTAAATATTATCTCCTAAAATTTGGCGGTACTGTTCTGTACCTTCACACATGCTGAAAAACAAACTGCCCCAAGTGCGGGAAAAGCTCCTCAGCAGACAGCGGCCTCATTACCACCCGCAAGATACACTGGTGAGCACCTAGGCGCCTAATTATCAATGAAACAAAAATTTTTCACAATAAATGATAATATTTTACTTTCGGACATAGCACGCCCCAAAGTTATAAACTACTTAAACATTTAGATCTCACGATTCTGAGCATCTTGAACATCATATACAGTGTATACCTGCCGGAAATGGATAATAGCGACAATTTAATTGAATTGATTTTACGTACTTTTCAGTCTTTGTCTATGTGAGATGTTATCGTCGTGAAAGCGAGCTAATTAAGAGAGTGTTTACATCACGCATGCATGACGTCTTCCAGTCGTGACCAATGACGTATCGACCTCACCACGCGAATTATTTTCGACCAATCAAAATTTAATTTTTTCAAAGGGAGTCTGTTGAGTGCCTGCACTGTAAATTGCCTTGTAAATTTAGAAAGAACAAGCATCAGAGGTTGACCCTGAACCTATCCCTGGTCCTTCCACTTTAAACTGAGGTATTACTTTTACTTTTATCCTCTTCACCACTGATCAGCTCGCTAGACGCCCGGGCGATCGGTCACGTCTCTGTCACGCACTGTTGGCAAGTACTGGGCAGTTGATCCAGTCCATGGTGGTGGCTGGGGCTGGTGGCGGCGTAAACAAGTGTGTTTCAATCTTCATCATCAGCACAATGTCGTCGGCACTTGATTCCGACCACTGATGCTTCTGTTGTATGTATATATTAATACCTAGTCCAATATTTATGGTAATGCTTTATCTTTACTTGATGCTCACCAACTTAGAAGTTAAAGTAAGGGTGTGAAATAGGTTTTTATCCTTAACTTAATGCGCTGTTTTCTTTGGGGTTTGGGGAGCGACTAATTACCCAAATGTAGCCGCAATGAAGTCAAATGATGGTCCTACAAGAATAAATCGGACTGTCAATCACTTCTCGACTAGTATTTGGTGTCATAAAGTCACAAAAAATTGGTAAACTTAATTTAATCCGAGTTAATAGATCGAGTGCATGTACCTAACTCAGATTAAATTAAGTTTACCAATTTTATTTTTGACACCAAATACTGTCGAGGCAATCGATTCTTTAGGACCATCATTTGACTATTAGGCTCAATTAGTCGTACAGATTATAATGGGGTGTACCCATTTCGTCAGCACTGTTTTCACCCGTTTCGTCACCGCGTTCATTCCCATCACCATTTCAAGGGTAATACTTTCCAGAAAATTCTCACATAATTAATACATCAATATATACATGAAAACTTCACTAAATTTGACAAAATAACTGTTGCTTGGGATTGAAAAATTATCAAAACACCTAGTTTACAAAATTGAATTACCGTACGAAATTATGCCTCGGCATAACAATACATTGGATCGTGCTAGCATCTCACTCCCCGTCTGGTCCCCGAGATATATGCTAGGGACTGTCAGTTGGTTGAAAATGTTCAAGGAGGCACCAGACTGGTGCCTGCACTTCGGCACCTCAGCTACCCTGAGAGATTGGAGCGCCTGAACTTGCCTAGCTTATACTACAGACGGGCAAGGGGGGACCTAGTTGAGGTGTATAAGCATCTCAGGGGCACTACTCAGTTGAGTGTCCTTACTTGAGCTGGCAGGCGCTGCCCCACAAGGGGTCACAGCTCAAGATTGAAGCCGTAAGTCCAGAAAGCTGTGAGGGCAAACTTTTTTGGAGTGAGTTGTGAACTCTTGGAACAATCTACCAGAAAGTGTTGTGGACGCAGTGTGAGCTCTTTCAAGACAAGACTTGACCAACACTGGAGCAGGTTCAGGTACATTCAGGAGCCGGTGCATGCCCAGTACTTGCCAACAGTGCGTAACAGAGACGTGACCAATGTAGCGGCTAACGAGCAGTCAGTGGTGAAAAGGATAAAAGAAGACAATTTATTAAAGACTAAAATAAAACATTGTTAATACACCTGCAATCATCTCACTTAAACAATATGAAAGACTAAAATTTAAAACAAAATAAAAACATTGCTATTACTCATGCAAGCTTGGAAGAAGACACTGAATTTTTTTTTAGGAAATTAGAAGTACATAGTGATATTTTTTCTTAATATCCATTCCAGAGATGAACTTGTTTGTCATGATTTGCCAGGGGGCTCCACCCTCTGGACCCCCAAGTGTATATAAAACTGTAATTATTCGTTTTGGCACACCCTCAAATTTTTTCACCTTTCTGATGTATTTTGATGTGTTATATTCTGATCTGAGCTTCGTTTCCATGGGAAATGCGTAGTTTAAAAAAAAGAAAAAGATGCAAGTCATCCTTGATCAAAAACAGCTATTTTCCATCAAAAACAAAGGTGAGATCTGAACATAATACATCCATATACACCAGAAACCAAACATCTAGACCCCTAACTTCCACTAAATTAACCTACCTTAACCTAACCTAACCCCTGCGGGGTAGAGATTTATTGATCAAATTAATAAAGGCGTTCCTCACTTCTGCGATTTTTCTGAAAGAAACACGTTTGCAAGAGGCTTCAAGGGTTAAGGAATGTATATATGAGGTAGAAATTGCCTAAAAGTAAGTGCTTCTATGCGATTTGAAGATATCCTAAACCGAATAACCTAAAAAATTTACCTTAACAGATGCAGGAGGATAAAGTGATGTCACTTGAATGAGGAAGTGGTGCAGTATTGTGTTAGGACACCGTAGACCCACAATTACGAGATATCTTCCTCCTGGACAGTGTCTGTCTCATATTGCAATACCAAGTGTCAATTTTCATGATACTGACTCTGAATCACACAATGGACACTTGACTGAAGAAGCAAGAACACCATATCAACAGCTGTGACTTCATTCTAATAAAACACACTGAATCACATGATAATCTGCCAAAGAGCAACCTTCACAGACAGTTGCTATCTTGCAATTCCACATTTCTAATTCCAGAGCTTGTGCATACTCACATCTTTTCTATTGGCTCATTAGTATCATGTGACATCCAACTTCTGCTGAGTGGCTGAGCAATAAGTAAACAATGGATTTCTCCTGAATTTTTATTATATTTAAGTGAAATAGAAGTCAAAATAACTGACAACTATAAATTCCTGAAATGTGACAGAGCAGTGGTTCCCAACCATTTGTAAGCTCTGAGCCACATTTATCATTGTGAATATAGTGGAGGATGCCAAAACTTTGGATTTACATTCCCAGGTAGTAGGCAGCTACCAAACAGGGAGGTGCTACTGACTGGGAAGATATTGGAAGCATAATGTATTGTCTAATGGTAGACCCTGCTGTCATATGGCATCACGAAAATTGTGACAAAGTCCCAGGGTGCTGATCTGATTTTCTGCCTCATTTACACAATTGTAGGGTCTCAATTGTCTCTCTTACCATTGACAACACAACATACTGTACATATATTGTTTCTCACTCTTGATAATTTTTTTTTTTTTTGTATTTCTTTATGGTTCTTTCTTATTATTATTATTAATATTATTATTAAATTTTGCCCCCAGGCGATGTGGGTCAGTGACCTGTGCCGGTGGGTTAATCCCAAAAAAACTCATATAGTATACTGTTCAGTTATTTGCAATTTATCGTCTAACTGTTACCAGTTACATACTTTTTGCATTTACTCTTGGACAGGACGTGTGTGTTTACCCAAGTGAGATACACACTTGGGAGAAATGCGCAGTTCCTCTCTCTCTCTCCCCCAAACTATAAAGTTGTATTAAGTTGTGACATATTTTCATTAATTTCACTCTTACAAAGAATCCCAAATAATTCAAAATTTTCTAATAAACCCTTGCAGGCTCCATAATATGGTTCCGCCGCCTGCGAATTACTGGTTGGAGACCACTGTTACAGAGTAACGTTTTGTACTGTATTATTTTTTTTTCCTTACATAAGGGTTAATATATTTAGAAATTGCCTTCTTACTTTCAAAAAATGCAGGAATTGCATTTCCATATTGTTGTTTTTCCATAATTTTTCTTCTAGAAAATAATCTATGCCCATCCACCATATCCAACTAATACCATTTTTGAGCTTGATGTGTTTTATCAGGGTTCTCGGACCTAAACAATAAAAATCAGAACCTCAACGCCAGAAAATAAGAGGATGGATTCCATAATGTATCATTAACATTTTATTTTGATTGAGGAGACAACAAAATTTTAATTTTTGTGTCTATTGATATTTGTAATACAGTACCCCTGTACAGTATTTGTTTTGTCCATGGATATTTTTGTGCAACACTGAGCCACTCAAAAGGAAATTGCACATCTTGTGACAAATACTGTATCGTTATAATCAAAGTTGACTTAACTTGAAGTGGATCGTTTACCATTGTGATATTAAATAAGTTTGTCAAAACAAATAAAACTGGACCTCAAATTTAAGAAACAAGAACATAAAAAGCTCACACGGTAAATAAGATTTGTGGCCAAAAATAATAAAAATTCTTATAAATAATGATAACTGAGAACCCTGGTATTTATGCAAATGTTTCCAGCAACTTTTTCATACAAATACTTCCAGTGATTGTTACATTGGTATCACCAATTCTAGATGACATGAACCAAGTTAACCTAACGATAATGTAATATTTCTTATATGGGTTAGGATAGATAGATGGTAGATAGGTTTGGTTGGTTCATCTCATCCTGGAGAAATTATAGAATGTAACAGTTACAGAAAATTTTCATATGGAAAGGTCTGACTTACTAGTAACTCGAGTTGGTCGTTGAAATTTACTTGTTTGTCAACTTGTCTGAGCTAATAGGTACATAAGCATTTAAGCTATGTAATAATCTAGTACTTTGTACAGTATAAAGAACATTAACAGGTATATTTTACTTAATTCTAAATTGTACTGTACGTACAGTATTTACATTTAACGATAATTTTCATGACAGTAGATTCACCGGACACTTACTGTATTATTAAAAGGCCTTGGTACAGTACCTAGTTAATATATATTACATGCTTAAACCCCGTGATAACTTTTAAACTTTATGAGGTCTTAAAACCTTGTACAGTATATATCAAAATACTTTAATGGTAACGTACAATACCATTTCCCGCTGTTGCGTGGGTATTTTGATGTTATCAGGGATGAAAGGTTTATTTTACCCAGATGATGCGCGTAAGTAAATAGTTGCTATTGGCATTTTTTTTTTTTTAATTCATCCATGTTATTCTTAAATTAAACATCATTTTGTTTATTATTTTTTGTGATGTTGTACCTATGTCATACAATTTTATAATTTGATTAAAAGCAAGTAACTTACATTTCAGGAAAGTGTAGAAGCTGGTAATGCAGATTTTACTTGAATAATAAAGAAGGGATTAAAAATGGCTCAAAGAAAAGCTCATAAGCTTGAGGATAAAGAAAGAACAGATGATATTCATATAGAAGAAAATGTGGACTTTGCTGGTATGTACTTAGCAGAACATGTGCTTGCAGGATTAAAATCTGCAGGCTTTGGTAAAGTCCCATCCAGTTAGCTGCCATCCCTCTTGGTCGATGTGGGCTGGACTTGATTGTGCAAGCTAAGAGTGGGACTGGTAAAACATGTGTTTTTACTGTAATTGCTTTGGAAATGATAAGTGTATCTGCTCCATCAACACAAGTTCTCGTTATTGCGCCAACTCGTGAAATAGCTGTACAGATAACTCAAGTAATCAATGCTATTGGTAGTACAATGCCACAACTCAGAGCTGCTACCTTCATTGGAGGGATTCTTCTAAATCAAGATAAAGCTAAGCTTCGTTGCTGCCATATAGCTGTAGGAACACCTGGCCGTCTTACTCAACTTGTTGAACTTGGGCTTCTTAAACTAGAAAATGTCAGATTACTTGTGTTAGATGAAGCTGACCTGTTGCTGACAGGTCAGTTTACCAAGGCAGTAGTCCATTTGGCCTCTGGGCTTCCGTTGAATAAACAAGTATTAGCACTTAGTGCAACATATACTGTAGAAGTAGCGGAAGTTGTAGAGGGACTTATGCGATCACCAAACCATGTTCGACTTGGAAGAGATTCGCCTGCTCTACTGGGTGTCAACCAATTTGTAAGGTTACTCCCATACCATCATCAGCCACATCGTATACAGCAGACAAAGTTATCAGAGCTTCAGGCCATTCTCGCGACAGTAACATTTAATCAGTGTCTTGTATTTTCAAACTCTCAGCTACGTGCAGAATCCATTTGCAGCGCATTACGAGCAACAGGATGGCCAGTTTCCCACTTGACTGGTGGTCAAACACAGTGTGACCGCTTACAGGCACTGGAAGCATTGTGCTCTTACAAGTGCGGTTCTTGTTTCAACAGACCTCTCTGCCCGTGGTCTGGATTCAGAACATGTGAATCTTGTCATCAATCTGGATAGCCACGTGATCAGGCTACATATCTTCACCGTGTTGGACGGGCCGGACGGTTTGGCTCTCGGGGAGGCGCCATTACACCGCTTCAGAGGGAGATGAATGGCAAGCCATTAGGGCTATAGCAACATTGGCAAATGTACAAATTTATCTTTTGCAAGAGGACTGGGAGTCCAGTATTGCTAGTAAAGATGTTAAGAGTATGGAGAAATTGGAGTTATTACCTGATGATGAGGTTAAGCTATGGCTTGACAACAATGCCCAACATAGTTATTTGTATGGGGGTAAAAAGAAAGGTAAACCTAAGAAAGTACTGGAACAGATAAATGCACCGAATGGAATAGCAGAGTCCCAAAACAAGAACAAAGTAAAAATGACAGGAGAATTCATAAAGGACTCTTGTAAAGAAAATAGAGAGGTTGATGCAGTCTCCAGAAACCATTCCCAGAAGTCAAAGAATGTTAGAGAGTCAAAAGAAGCAAGTAAAAAATATAGCCATAACATGAAAACTGAGAAAAAAAAATGAATATGAAAACAAAAGAGCAACAAAGGAGAACTCATCAAGAGGCAGCAAGTGCAAGGAAAGAGGCAGAAGACAGGCAAAGGGAGGAAGAGGTTGCACAAAATTACAAAACAGTATTGAAATTACTAGAGGGAGTCAGTTCTAAATCATCCTCAGTAAGTATATCTTATTCAGATATATTACAAGAATGTTCTGAGAAATATGACAACATCTCAGCCACTGATAATCCAACAGTAAGAGTACCACCATTGCCTAACAAACTAAAACTAACTGAAACTGATTTGAAAGCATTTGAGGATCACTGGAAAACTATTCTGGAGGAACAGGAGCAGAGAGTAATTAATGCTAATGAAATGTGGGATTGTGCAAAGTTTAATATTCACAAAGGTCTGGAAGCATTAATTGAAGGGAAGGATGCACTGACAGTTTTGAATAAAGATGACCAAGATGAAAAAGAAAGTAGAGTAACAAATGATCCATCAATACTTTTAACTCTAGAAAATGATTCATTTTCTGGAGGAGAATCAAGTGACAACATCAGTGATAGAGCTTTGGAAGTTAATGGATCACTGACTTACAAATGGCATAAAGTAAAGAACGATGCAATAAAAGAAATGCAGCATTCACCCAATCCTCATTCAACAGAGATTTCAAGGAGTAATATCAGTGTTAATACAGCTCCCAAGAACAAAGGGAAAAAGAAAATGCTCTCAAATTCAAATAGTCCCAGATCAAGTATACATTCCAATAGACAAGATAAAGAACAACCAAGAATGTACATGTATTATGACAAAGATATGGAAAGCAAAGAACAACACATGATAAACAAGCAAAAGAAAGACAAAGTACACCGGGAGAATAAGCGTCGTGCCTCATTTACTGGTCCCAGTGGCACTCAGGCACACTCTGGACATTATGACGATAGTTCCCGGGGACACTGGTATTATGGGGCTCAACCAATGAACGACTGCCATCAGCCAAGATATGCCAACAACTGGAGCTGGCAGCAACATGGTAATGCTAACAATATTCAAGGACAACAAAACAACTATAGTTTTCAAGAAATGAATGAAAATGATCCACAAGTAGGTGACTTTGGGACTTCTCGAGAGTGTGGAAATGATCAGCCACCACACCAAGAAACATACGGTCATGGAAATGAATATACCAGTTATTGGAATTACAATTATGATTCTTATTGGCAACAGAGGTCATATATAGAAAGTGCACACAAGTTTGCTTCTATGATGGATTATGTTCAACACATGGGAAGGATGAGTGCTTGGATGGCCCAAGACTTTCATAAACGTAATAAAGAAAATAATAGTTAGGGACAATATTTAGCTCGTGTTTGTAATTACAACTGAATGGTGGCAGTGTGGGAGTTGTGGATTAGTATTCAAAGTTTATATATACTGTGTACCGGTACTCTGTATCCTGTATATATATTTTGGTTTATTTTTATTAGTATAACATGAGAATGATGCTGAAATTTCCATTTACAATTGTTAATTTTTATGGTGCTTCTAAACTTTAAAGTTATTTTAGTTCTGTATTTGATTTATAATTTAATATCACTTAAAAACATTGTGAACTTATACAGTACTCTTTAAATGCAGTACCAAAGTGTGAGCATGTCTAAAAGATTTGGTAAAAAGTTATCTGAGGAGTGTGCAAAGGTGTTGAGGACCATTGATACATCAAACCCAACATCAGATGGAACAAGGAGTCCTTACTTTCCTGAGTCAAGTAGTGGATGTATGACATTAGATACTGATGATAAACATAGGAAAAAATGGAAAATAATGAAGGTCAAAGCATAGAAAATCAAGAAATTGGAAGAGAATAGAAGTCTCAGGACACATAGTTTAGTGAAATATGAAAATACTTGTACAGCTCCAGGGCCAAGTGCACCTGTTAGTGATGTACAGGCACAAGGGTCAGGACAAGACTTTACACCTGGTCCAAGGTTGTCACAAGACTTCTATGATCAAGACAGCATTACTTTAGCCAAGGCTTTGTTAGGTAAGATTAACTTACATTTTTGTTGAGTAAGATTAACTAGCATCTTTGTTGGGTAATATTAACTTAGATCTTTGTTGGGTAAGATTAACTTAGATCCTTGTTAGGTAAGATTAACTAGCATCTTTGTTGGGTAAGATTAACTTAGAGCCTTGTTGGGTAAGATCAACTTAGTCTTTGTTGGGTAATATTAACTTGCATCTTTGTTGGGTAAAATTAAGATTAAATTAAATTGTGTGTTTGTTAGGTAAGCTAATTTTTTCTTTATTATTTTGTTGAATCATAAATTGAGATTAAATTAAAACTTTTAAGAAATCAGTGAGGGGGGGGGGGTGGAGTTTCATGCTCTGACTTCATAAACATTGTAATCAACTGAAAAACTCCCTTTTATATGTGAAAGCCTCTCTCAGAGACTCATTAATCAATATTTGGTGGTGATTGCTTATCATCCTCCCCCTATTAAGAACCCTGGATTAGTAACAAAATTATATCAGTCATTGTTCATAACTAGCTAAATGGGATGAAACAGGTGCACCAAGACCCAGAAGGATATACCGTACCATACTAATAAGTAATGAATACAGGATACAGTACTGTAAATAATTTAAATTCTCATAAATCTTTTCATCCTCAACTCATGGTGAGTGTAATTTGGTGAATCATATCTTCCACACTTCATGGATGGTGCATTACTAATTCACTTTTCTTACTTTGTTGATGTCTCGGTGAGAGTTCTGCACTCATTTACTCTTCCACTTTAATTAAAAATTATTGTCCACTATAAATTTTCTCGTCACTTGGTACTGTATATTCCTTGTCCTTAACAGCTTAGTTTTGTGATTTGGCTACCTCTGAACTACCATTCATTACTGCTGTAAATTTTCTTCCCCAGTTGAACATCAGTCATACAACTACTGTATAGTGCAGTTTGATGTCAGTTTAGAATTATTATACTATATGTCTGTACAGTTTACATCTTTTGAGTACCTGTATTAGCTGAAGAAAAACACTTTCAACAGGACAAATTGTTGTTAGAGTGGTGGATGGTGTTCGTATAACTGGAGCCGTTGTGGAGACTGAGAGTTACTTGGGTGGCCCAGATGTAGCCTCCCACAGTCACAATGGCAGAGAAGCCAGAACAGAGCCAGTGTACATGAAACCTGGAACATCATATGTCTACTCAATTTATGGAATGTATTACTGTTTCAACATCTCAAGTCAAGGTACCTGTATGAACAGTAGTTTGATGGTTTCACTTATGTATTTATCTCTTTTTAGATACCTATCCAGGCTAATGATTGAATTTTCAGTATTTGAATACTTATATCACTTGAGAATCAAACTAGTATAGAATGTTAATAGTTGCACAATTTGTTAGTATGTGAGGTAAATTTGGAATTAATATTTGTTGCAAGTTTTGTTTTAAGTTTGGCGATTACATGATCTATAACCGTTTTTGCAAAATAAAAAAATAAAAACAATACATGCAGTGGTCCCTCGGTTAACAAGCACAATTCGTTCCAGAAGGTTGCTCGTTAATTGAAAAATTCGCGAACCGAAACCATTGTTTCAATGGGTTTTTGGGTAATTGGTTCCAGCTCACCGAAAATTACATACAAACGAAAAATAAATGCAGTAAAGTACACGTACTTTGAGGTGTGCATGTAGAAGACTCCTGGTTGATGATGATGATGATGATGGAAATTAGAATGGGGGTGGAGAAGAAGGGAGAAGAGAAGGTATTGGGGTGGAAGAGAAGTCACCCCATGCCACCATTTCACCCATATAATTTTAGTTCACTTGGTGCAATTCAAGATTATTTTCTTTAAATCAACACTACACTGTGCTATATATTATCAACATGTAAATATATTTCAAAATGATCAATTATTTGACTGGAAACACAGAAAAAAGCATTTACGTGAAGAGTCTCAAACAAGATGTTCCTTCCTCTGAACTGGTAAACAAACTGGCACCAAGCTTGGTGTGTTGAGTGGCTGTTTGGTGCGCAAAAAAACTAGTTTCCTGTACTTCAATTATGTTCAATAATTGTTAAAATGACTAAAAAATTTAATGTAAGATTTTTAAAATGATTGAATAGTACAACCTTCTTGATATTTACTAAAATGGTAAGGAATTTAAGCCCTAGAACCGATTACTGTATTGGCAGACTAATACGACAGCTAGTGAGCAAGCGAAAACATGTTGAGGGGCGCTCGTAAGGAATTCATTAATCGAGAGATTGCTCGTTAACCGAATTGAAGATTCTTATGGAAGGTAATTCGTTTACCAAAATTTCTTTAACGGTTCGTTAACTGAGGGATCACCTGTATTGTATATGTGTGTGTGTGTGTGTAGACACACACACACAAAACACATACAAATAAATAATACAGTGGTCCCTCGGTTAACTAGCCTTTATTAATGAATTACCTTCCCAGTTGCAAAAATGCTGGCAACTTTAAACCTATCCTTAAGACATTCTTGGGTTCATCCAGGGTGTCCTCCGCAAATTGTCAGGGTATGCTGTACATAAGAACATAAGAATGGAGGAAACTGCAGCGGGCCTATTGGCCCATACTGGGCAGTCCCATTTACACCCAACCCCCTATTGCTCATATAAGCATCCAACCTTTGTTTGAAGCTATTCAGCGTATTCGAGTTAATGATGATATTTGGTAACTTGTTCCATTCATCCACTACTCTGTTTCCAAACCAGTGTTTACCTATTTCACGCCTAAATCTAAATTTGTCTAATTTAAAACCATTGTTAGAGTTCGCTCCTGGTTGGATAGTTTGAGTACCTTTGTAATGCCCCCTTTGTTTAGCCCTGACTTCCACTTATACACCTCTATCAGGTCGCCCCTGCTCTCGTCTCTCGAGGTGCAAATTAAGATGCTTTAACCTGTCTCTATACTCAAGGCTCCTAATGCCGGGATTAGTCTTGTCATTTTCCTCTGAATTCTTTCCAATGATTCTATATCCATTCTGTAATATGGTGACCAGAACTGAACTGCGTAATCAGGGTGTGGTCTCTGGCACTAAGATAAAGTTTTAGGATGACCTCGCTAGTCTTGTAACTAACACTCCTTTGTATGAACCCAAGTACTTTATTAGCCTTGTTACGAGCAAAAACACATTGTTTACTTGGCTTAAGGTTCCTGCTTATCATTACTCCTAAATCTCTCGCGGTGGTTCTCTATGGCATCGTTGTTCATCTGGTATCTGGTTTCCTGTTTACATCTCCTATACTGAGTACTTTACATTTGTCCACGTTGAATTTCATCTGCCATTTTCAGACCATTAAAAAATTTGTTAAGATCTTCCTGTAGTTTTTGCGAGTCTCGTCAGATTTAATAACACGTCCTATTTTAGTGTCATCAGCAAATTTACTTATGTTGCTGTCTATGCCAATATCTATGTCGTTTATGTATATAATAAATAATACAGATAGACCCCGACTTCTGACGACGGGGTTAAGGACTCCAGGTCCTAAGTCCGACATAGATAAAAATTTTTTTTTTTTTTTTTAAATAAATAATCTACAATGAAATACAGTACAGTAAAGTAATGAATAATGAGGAATGGATACAGTACAGTGAAAGTAATAAATAATAAGGAATGGTTACAGTGTGACTGAGCACTTACCTTTAATGTAATTGAATGCACATAGGGCCCCCATAATTTTCTTATTATACATGGAACTACATTAACTGAAACTTTCCGTATAGAAAATGCTTGTCATTTGGGAAATTTTTAATAAAAATCTCGGCGATCGTAAGTGGGGTCTGTCTGTAATGGTCCAAGTACTGAGCCTTGGGGAACTCCACTTGTGACGTTGCTCCAATGGGACTTAGTGCCGTTAATGCTCACTCGCTGTTTCCTGTCCTGTAACCACGCCCTAATCCATTTAAGGATGTCACCTTCGTGGGGGACTCTGTCAAAGGCTTTGCTAAAGGCGAGATATACCACATCATAATTGTGCCCCTCGTCCACCGATTCGAAAACTGATGAAAAGAATGTTAATAGATTAGTTAGGCAAGAACGTCCGCTTGTGAAGCCATGCTGGGAATCATTGATCAATCTGTGCTTCTCCAGGTGATTTCGAATAGAGTTTGAAACGAATGCTTCCAGTAATTTGCCTACTATTGATGTTAGACTGATTGGGCGGTAGTTAGAGGATAGTGATCTATCCCCCTTCTTGAAAATCGGTATTACATTCGCTATCCTCCAGGATTCTGGTACTACACCTGTTTTTAATGACATGTTAAACAACTTTGCTAAGGGCATACTAAGCTCTTCCTTACATTCCTTTAATACTCTGGCAAATATCTCATCGGGACCAGGTGACTTATTAGGCTTTAGTTTGTCTATTTGCTTACTAACATCGTTACTAGTCACTACTTTCTCACTTAATTTGTTTTCTTCACTATCTCTGAATAGAGTCGGTGCCTCGGGTATCATGTTTAAATTTTCGGTGGTGAAAACTGTTGAAAAATATTTATTCAAATTATTGCTCATTTCTCCGTCGTTATCAGTGAGCTCGCCGTATCTGACCGTATTGGTCCAATCTTTTCTCGTGTTTTAGTTTGATACATTTGGTAGAATCCTTTGGGGTTTGTCTTCGCCTCCCTTGCTATCCTTACCTCATTATTCCTCTTTGCTTTCCTTATCTCGGTTTTAACCCTACTCGCCAATACCCTATAATAGTCCCGGAGGTGAATTTCGCCACGATTTATCCTTCTACCTATAGCCTTCCTTTGGCCAATGATGTTCTTTAAATAATTATTTATCCATTTAGGGTCATTGTTGTCTGATCTGAGTTTTTTGTATGGTATGTTCTGCCTTTGTGCATTAAGTAACTCACTATTTAAATTGTCGTGGAACTCGGCAATCTCAGATCTCGTTATCAGGTCGGTGTCATCTGTCAGGTTCACAGCCAAGCGCGACACCCCCTCTCTCAGCTGCCTCTTTAAACTGTCAAAGTTTGCCCTTCTGAAATCTGGTACTTTAGTGGAATTTTCCTTACGTCTGCCCTGAAAATCTAACTGGAATCGAATTTCTTTGTGATCTCTGTTTGCAAGTTCGTTCCCTACCTCGACATTGCTAATTAGGTTTTCTCTGTTCGACAGAACTAAGTCCAGTATATTATTACCCCGTGTGGGTTTGGTTATATGTTGACTTAGGAAACAGTCCTGGAACGTCTCGAGAAAATCCTCTGATTCTGAGTTACCCGTAAGGTCAGTCCAATCTATTTGGCCAAGGTTAAAGTCGCCTACTATACAGACTTTGCTGTGTATGGAAGCCCTACGCATTTCATCCCAGATAAGTCGCTCATTGACGCTATCAAGATTGGGGGGTCTATATATTACTCCTGTGAATAATTTTTCCCGACCGTCGCTTAATTTTATCCAAATTGTTTCTGTATTCCTCTCAGTTTTTATTTCCTTATTTATTTCACATTTCAGATTATCCCTAATATAGATTATTGTATTTTACTATCCATTCAATAATCTTTATTCAAATAATTTTTATTTCTAGGTGATGGATCCTGTGTTCTCATAAGATCATTAGAACCTTTAGAGGGGTTTCAGAAAATGGAGGCAGGTCGAAACCAGGGCGTAAGAACACAACACCACTCAAAATTCATGACTTGTGTAATGGACCATCAAAAATTTGTCAAGCACTACATCTTAATAAGGTATAAACAATCCTGAAATATTCTCTTCATGAACTAATATTTCCCATACCTGTGTTACATGGCTAATTATGTATCTTGTACATACTGTACTTTAATTTCATTTGCTTGCCCAACCATACTTTATTTTGCAGTCTTCCTGTCTAATTCCTGTATGACAACACAGCTACACATAATTCGTCTTATCTGAATCACACATGTCTTGTGCAAACCCCTCTGAATAGTTTAATATTTTGTACACTATTAATCTTCCCTCAATCATTCATTCCTGCCTTATGGTTGTACCAGCTCAGGCCATCAACTTATTTCATGAACCATGTTTTATCTCAATTAAAAAAGCACCATGAAACTTCACTTATTTAAATTCTGAATAATTCAAACATATTTAGAAAATTTTAAATTTTAAAGAATCACCTGATAACTTGACTGTTGTTGGAATTAGACCAGATAGTTCATAATATCTCCCTTGGTGAGTCTCTTCCACCCATATGTATGGAATTTGGTGCCTGTGTATGGAGTTCGAACCCAGCTTCAACATAGAATTGCAGTACAGTACTGTATATGTGAACTTAAACCCTTATGTTAACCCTTTTGGCCACCTTTTTATGAAACCTCCTGATATATCACGGTAATGTGATAGTGACATTAGGTTATGTTGAGAGAGTTGATGTGGGGGTAATGACATTAGGGGCTGCATTCACAATCGACATGCCTGACAGTGATCCCGACCATCAAGAACCCAAAGCTCATGGTGGCAGGTATTATTCAAGAATGTGCTTTGGGTGCTACAATGTGTTGAGATCCCGATCCACTGGGTAGGGCTACCAACATATGTAAATCGGCAGGATGACCCATGGTTGGTATGCTGCAAGTCACCTGTCATGTGTAAACAATTGGCACTTGATTTAATGTTACCAATCCTATTTGGTTCTTAGCTACAGAGTGCCACTTAAAAATAATTGATAATAATTTGAAGATGCAGTAATCCCCCCCAGAATCTTATATCCTGGCTACATGTACTAGTTATTCATTGTAATATAAATCTGTAGGGTCACGGCCTTAAAATTGATTTAACAGAAGGATGCTATAGTTGAAATGTGATTTAAAATACAGTTTTCTGATGAAAAGAGGGGAGGAGGCAGACCACACAGATGTTGCCTTTTCTTCTCTAAAACACTGCCTGCAGTACCCAAGAGTTGAGACTCAAGTATTGGTAGCCACGGTCTTTGTTGATGCACAGCTCCACACTTATGATCAGCTAAGATTATTTAACATTTGTAAATAACTGACAATCTTTTAATATATATATGGAAAGTAGATTTTCTTTCACCAACATTTCATATCATTTTTTATTATATTCTATCCCAATATATAAAAATTTGGAGGGTGAAAAAATTATATAATTATTGGGACTGTCAGAGGGCAGGTACCCCTTCCCAATGAATTGTTCCAACGATCCCCCGAAAGGAGACCCGGTCCACCAGAACTGCATTCGGGCCTGTAAGTGTCCCTGAATAACGACACAAGGCTATATTCCCAATGGGTCAGGTGGAGTAGTGACTGTGAATACTGCCCTAGGTTGTGGTGTGGGGGTAGTGACACAGGTTGTGTTGTGGGAGGTGGTGTGGAAGTAGTGACATAGGTTGTGTTGTGGGAGGTGGTGTGGAAGTAGTGACATAGGTTGTGTTGTGGGACGTGGTGTGGGGGTAGTGACATAGGTTGTGTTGTGGGACTTGGTGTGGGGTAGTGACATAGGTTGTGTTGTGGGACTTGGTGTGGGGGGTAGTGACATAGGTTGTGTTGTTGGAGGTGGTGTGGGGGTAGTGTCACAGGTTGTGTTGTGGGAGGTGGTGTGGGGGTAGTGACATAGGTTGTGTTGTGGGAGGTGGTGTGGGGGTAGTGACACAGGTTGTGTTTGGGAGTGGTGTGGGGGTAGTGACATAGGTTGTGTTGTGGGAGGTGGTGTGGAAGTAGTGACATAGGTTGTGTTGTGGGGAGGTGGTGTGGGGCTAGTGACATAGGTTGTGTTGTGGGAGGTGGTGTGGGGTAGTGACCAGGTTGTGTTGTGGGAGGTGGTGTGGGGGTAGTGACAGGTTGTGTGTAGGAGGTGGTGTGGGGGTAGTGACCAGGTTGTGTTGTGGGAGGTGGTGTGGGGGTAGTGACACAGGTTGTGTTGTGGGAGGTGGTGTGGGGGTAGTGACATAGGTTGTGTTGTGGGAGGTGGTGTGGGGTAGTGACATAGGTTGTGTTGTGGGGAGGTGGTGTGGGGGTGTGACATAGGTTGTGTTGTGGGGAGGTGGTGTGGGGGTAGTGACATAGGTTGTGTTGTGGGAGGTGGTGTGGGGTAGTGACACAGGTTGTGTTGTGGGGTAGTGACACAGGTTGTGTTGTGGGAGGTGGTGTGGGGTAGTGACACAGGTTGTGTTGTGGGGTGGTGTGGGGGTAGTGACATAGGTTGTGTTGTGGGGGGTAGTGACACAGGTTGTGTTGTGGGGTAGTGACACAGGTTGTGTTGTGGGAGGTGGTGTGGGGGTAGTGACACAGGTTGTGGTGTGGGAGGTGGTGTGGGGGTGTAACATTAGGTTGTGCTGTAGGTGACATTGACTTTAGTTTATGCTGTTGGTAGTGGAGGTGGTGCTTGCAGACAGTTTCACTTGTTCTATCATCATGTAACATAATAAAGTCTTCTGTTCTCCTTTTCTGCCATAGTCTCTCACTAAAACCACCATGTTGACATTATTAGTGAGGTACAGTATACAAATACCAGTAAGTTTTTACACTTGATGGTCTGTGTACTAATATGCTCATGTACTAGACCTTTATATATACCAGAGGAATATTGTAAATTTTTGTTCTTACCCATAACCAAGTATAAATAAAGTGTAAGTATTATAGATTAATAAAGCTTAATGTTTCATCACAGGACTCCAGCAACAAGGTGGACCTTGCTGAATCAAAATTCTTCTGGTTAGAACAAGGTAAATCTATTCCTGAGAACCAAGTAATAGTTACCAAGAGGATTGGTATTGACTCTTGTGGTGAAGAATGGGCAAATAAGCCACTTCGATTTTATGTGAATGGTAATAAGTGTGTAAGTGTCAGAGATAAAAAAGCAGAGAATATATTTTAAGTACATGTATTATTAAACAATTTATTTTTACTTGTACAAATTTAATTACTGCTATGTATAGAACATGTGAATGATGATTGAACTAGTAATATACATCACTAGTTTTGTGGGAGAATCAAAATGGAGTAAATATCAATTATGGAGTACGAGAGATTTTACCATTACAGTGACCCCTCGTTTACTTAACTCAATCCGTTCCAGGTCGTTCGTTAAGTTAGCTTCAAACCATTGTTTCAATGGGTTTTGGGTAATTGGTTCCAGCTCACGAAAATTTCTAAATTCAACAAAAATGTTAGAAAAGTTCACTTACTTTGAGGTGTGTATGTAGAAGGCTCCTGGATAATAATGATGATGATGGGAATTAGAATGGTGGTGGAGGAGAAGGAGAATAGAAGGCATTGGGGTGGAAGAGAAGTCACCCCATGGCTCCATTTCACCCATAAATTTTAGTTCTCTTGGTGTATTTCAAGATTATTTTCTTTTAAATCAACACTGCACTGCATTATATATTGTCAATATGTAAAATAAATTTCAAAATGACCAATAATTTGCTTGGAAACACAGAAAAAAAGCATTTAGTTGAAGAGAGTCTCAAGCAAGATGTTACCTCCAGTGAAAACAGAGAGACTGCTGTTTGCTGTGTTAAGAGGCTGGATGCACGCGTTAAACTAGTCACTTTACCTTCAATTATGTTCAATAATTGTTAAATGATAAAAAAATTGAATATTAAACTTTTAAATTATTGAATAGTATAAATTTCTTGATATTTACTAAAATAGTGGAATTTAAGCCTAGAACCGATTAATGTATTGGCGGACTGATACTAAAGCTGGTTGCCCGGTCAGTGCAAGCGAAAACATGTTGAGGTCGGTTAGCAAGAACTTCGTTAACTAATTTTTTCGTTAATCGAATTGAAGATCCTTATGGAAGGCAGTTCGTTAATCGAAATTACGTTAACCGAGGTGTTCGTTAAACGAGGGGTCACTGTACTGTATTATGTATCTTCATAAGGCAAGTTTGATTTGTTGTAAACAGTTAATACTGTATTTCATATAAAATCAGCTTTTTTTTATTGTACTGTATATAAATTTTAAATGATTATAATACATATCCCTGGTATTTTTTTTAATATGCTGTATACTCCTCATGCATGACATTTTAGAAGAAAATATATTTTAATTTGTAAACCATTAAAAGGGAAGCTGTAAAATCACTGGAGTGGAATAACCTTGGTACATGAATTGAATTGAAAATTTTATTTAAAAAAATCACAAAGCATTTATTACTATACAGTATAGTCTCGGTTTACGTGGTCAATTGAACCCGTGGAGGTCCGTGTAAAACGAGAAACATGTATGAAATAAACAGAACATATGGGATTAATTGAAGTAGAGACTTCCCGCGTAAATGATGGAATGAACTGTGTAAATAAAAATTGTCGGTCTGGCAAGGTGCCCGTAAATGACCAAGCAAACTAAATCCGCGTAAATCGAGACTATACTGTACAGTACAGTGCTCATTTTGCACGGGTATATCGTACTGGCTGCGTTCGTGCATCGATAATTCTGCACAAGTGATGCCCTTTAACACATGTTAAAATCATTAAAGTGTGCTGGACTCGCCAGACCTTTGCTCTAGAAAGACGTGGGGTAACCAATATAACCTTCCAAAATTGACACATTATGTCACATAACCTCCATCTACATTATTAAATATTTTAAGAAAGCCAAGCGCAGGAAGTTAATTATGCTATACCATACTCACCAAATACCCAGGTGTGGGAAGCTTTGGGAGACGATGAGGGTCCAAGGCAGAGACAGTGGTCCCTCGGTTAACGAACACAATTCGTTCTACAGAGTTGTTCGTTAACCAAATCCATTGTTTCAATGGATGGGTAATTGGTTCCAGCTCACAGAAAAGTACATACAAAGTAAAAAAAAAAGAAATGCAAAAAGTACACTTACTTTGAGGTGCGTATGTAGAAGGTTCCTGGTTGATGACGATGATGATGGGAATTAGAAGCGGGTGGAAGAAGGGAGAAGAAAAGAAGTGGGGATGGAGGAGAAATCACCTTTAAGGGAACCCATGCTTGATGCCGTCATTTCACCAATAAAATTTTAAGTTCACTAGGTGTAATTCAAGATTATTTTATTTAAATCAACACTGCACTGAGCTATATATTATCAATATGTTAACTAAATTTCAGAATGACCAATAATTTTAATGTAAAAATGCAAAAATACTCAAGACGCCAACAAAATCGATGTTCACTGTAAACAAAGCCACACACGGCCTGGTGGCCAAGTCAAGCGGCTGATGGGCGCACAAAAAACTAGTTCCCTGTACTGCATATATTATCAATATGTTAACGAAATTTTAAAATGACTAATAATTTTAATATAAAAATGCACAAATATTAAAGAGCACAACTTTCTTGATATTTACTCCACTGGAAACGAATGTACAGTGGTCCCTCGGTTAACGAGCACAATCCGTTCCAGCAGGTTGCTCGTTAACCGAAACGATTTTCAATGGGTTTTTGGGTAATTGGTGCCAGCTCACCGAAAATTGCCTAAATTCAACAAAAAAGGTAGAAAAGCACACTTACTTTGAGGTGTGTATGTAGAAGGCTCTGGATGATGATGATGGGAATTAGAATGGGGGTGGAGGAGAAGGAAGAAGAGAAGGCATTGGGGTGGAAGAGAAGTCACCCCATGGCACCATTCACCACAAATTTTAGTTCTCTTGGTGTATTTCAAGATTATTTTCTTTAAATCAACACTGCACTGCATTATATATTGTCAATATGTAAAATATATTTCAAAATGACCAATAATTTGCTTGGAAACACAGAAAAAACGTTTAGTTGAAGAGAGTCTCAAGCAAGATGTTACCTCCACTGAAAACAGAGAGAGACTAACGCCTGTCTGGTGTGTTAACAGGCTGGATGGCACGCCAGAAACTAGTTTCTTTACCTTCAATTATGTTCAATAATTGTTAAAATGACTAAAAAAGTTAATATTAAACTTTTAAAATTATTGAATAGTATAAACTTTTAAAATTATTGAATAGTATAAACTTCTTGATATTTACTAAAATAGTAAGGAATTTAAGCCTTAAAACCGATTACTGTATTGGCGGACTAATACTACAGCTGGTGGACCGCCAAATGCAAGCGAAAACATGTTGAATTACAAGTAAAAAACTCGTTAATCGAGGGATTGCTCGTTAACCGAAGTTAAGAATCTCATGGAGGGTAAATCGTTAACCGAAATTTCGTTAACCGAGGGATCACCGTAAACATAGAACAGATTACTGAATTGGCAGACTAGCCCATCAGCTGATGCTCACAACAAAACGTGATTGTCGTAAGGATTTAGTTAATCGAAGTTTTGTTCGTTAACCGAATTGAAGATCCTTATGGGAGGTAATTCTTTAACCGAAATTTCGTTAATCGAACCGTTCGTTAACCGAGGGACCACTGTATTAACCTTCTGACTCAGCTTATTACTGATAAAACATACACCACAAGAGGCTAATTATAAGAGAATATACTGTAATGAATAAATAAGAACAACTGGTAAATGCAGCACAGCACAGCCCTCTCCTCCATTTACAGAGGGAGGGATGATTGGTCAGGGAAGAGATTATGTATGTACTGTACAGTACCTTCTGATTCAGCTCAATATTTTATTTTGAAGTCAAATTAACAGTAAAAGCTCTCTAAGGCAGACTAATTTGGGGGAAGGGGTGTCTGGGATAAGAGGTTGTTTGCCTTAGAGCAAATTTTTCCCAAAAATACCTCTATTAAAAAAAAAGTACAACACCAATGTATCCAATTTATATGAATGCATTACATGTTTTAAATCAAAATTAATTAAATAAAAGTAATGTACACAAAGAACTGTTCACTTACCCCCAAAAATGGAAGGCAGATCCAGCTGGACATGACTGCAAGAGGTTTGCAGTCACTCTGAGTGCTTTGAAATTCTTTATTCAGTGCATATTTGTGAGTGAGCAGCACCTTTTTCTAGTCTTTCAATCACCTTTAACTTTTTGTTCACTTATAAGGTTTTAGGCTTAACCTTCTCACCACCCTTACCGACACCAAACACTTTCTTAGGGGTCATGGTTATTGTCTAATTTTTTAATAATAATACAAAAATGTGTCTGCTATGTCAGCCTACAACATAATTACATTACTGGCAATGTCAAATAAGTTTCAAAATACAGTTCAACACGTCTAAATGGTAATAAAACACAATCGACGGAGCGAGAGAGCAGAAGTGATGCTATCACGGGCGACGCTAATTTATGACTGAGAGTGATGTGTCTCCCTTTGTTTGTGAGAGTGAGTGGTGTGGGTGGATCACGAGGTCTGTCCACCTTGCTCCCTTGAAATTTTGGTTTATGGTGGACATGTCATCTTACAACAAATTATGTCCTTTTTTTTTTTCGCCAAAATAATTTTGTCTGGCTTAAGCGAGGTCGGCCTTAGCGAGGTTTTACTATATATAATTTTGTTACATTATTTAAAACTATGTAAGTCATTTATAATTAAACATACACCATAATAGGATGATCATTCAAAAATATAATAATGAATAAATAAAAACAAATGCAGCAATGGCCAGTAACCCCCCCCCCCACATGTTTACACTTGTAACATCATCTTGTACCTATTAGCTCTCGTTAGGCCTATGTCAAATCTGATTAGACAATACAGGTACAGCATATATTTTAAAAAACATGGTAATATATTAAAAAATAAATAAATATTGAACTGCGATACATACTTCTGGTATGCACTCATAATGCCCAATAACTAAAATCGCTAAATTTTGGGCAGTAATGAGCGTAACTCACCAATATGTAAAGGGTTCGTGCCTCGGCCCAGACACATGTGAGAAGGGTGTTATCCAGTGTGTGACTATCACAGGTTTCCCACAGTCCGGCTTCCTCATGTACTAACACTGGATAGACCAATCGCCCAAATGACTAGTAAGCTGAGATAAGTAGTGAAAAATTTTTAAAATTAAAAAATTAAATTAAAAATAACTTATACCAGTACCCATGGCTTTGCGTGTAAGTTATAACTATGGTCACACCAACCAATTGCGAAGTGATAACCTTGCACACAAGACCTATGCAAAATGAGACCCCATTGTACTGTACAGTATAGGGAAACAACAAATCACCAATGGGACTTATCAGTACTGGATATTCTCAATAAGAGATACCATTTTGGCCATTAGAATTAATGGACTTGCACAGTTAGATCTGGTAATGGGATCACATAGTCAGTTGGTGCATGCTGGAACTAGCTAGCCTCAGTGTAGCTGATCATCCCAGCTTATGGCATGTTTGTGCTGCCTGCATTACTGTTTTGTCACTTGGAAAGCATTGCGGATTCTAACCCTTAAATGTCTTAGAACAAACAAGATGGTACTGAGTGCAGAAGGAAATGTGGAAATTCTCCAAAATCTTGATAAGAAAATTCTGACCAGTATAAAGTAGGAACAACAATTTATAACTTTAAGAAGAAATATGACAATTTATTTAAGTTTTACGTTTATAGCGAATCAGATAGGGCAATGAGCAAAATAGAAAACTTCAGTGAACCCAAAGTAGCCATCATCAATGTTTTACAGCCATTTTCCATGCTTGCATGAATTAGCCTTGATTACCTGATGACACCTCTCAATGCTGCATGGTCTCTCACAGTCTCTGTCAGGTTCTTAACACTGTCATTTCTAACAACCTCTCCCCCATACCATTCTTGGCCTGCTCCTGGCTCTCCTCCCCTCCACATGTAGACTCCTGTATCTTTTGACCCAATCATCTCAGCCTGCCTCTATGCAGAACTTTGCAAATACTCTCAATACCCAGCTGCCCTAATAACTCTGCATAGGACCTCCTGTCTTTCAGTGTCACATTGCACATCCACCTCACCATTCTTATTTCAGTTCTTTCAAGCCTGCTTACCGGTATGTCATCCTCTTTAATTGTCCAAGTTTCACTGCCATACAATATCATACTTCTACACCAGCCACGTACAGTCCCCTTCACTAGTGCATTTACAGGGGCTCATTATATAAACATTCCACAAATCATTATCTTTGACAAGTTTGTTTTAATTTGATTCCATAGTATGTGTATTACTGCGAGTTTCCTTCTATCGAATGTAAACAAGCACAGCAGTGCCACACTGCACAAAACCTGATGAGCCTCTGAACGAACTTGTGAAGGGGACTGTACATTTTTCCTTTCACGTGGAGAGAAGGCCCTCCTGCCGTCAATAAGGGCAGCAACTCCTTAAACTTCTTCCAGCCACTTCTGACTCTTGCAACTGAGTAGGCTTCAACACTAATGTCACCCAGGAAACAGCTGATGGACATGACACCAATGTTGAGTTTCTCCAGCCTTGTTATGGACAAATGGTTACCTATGCATATAGAACACTAAAGCCAAGAACACCCTGCAATCTGCCATCTATTCCACTGCACCTCTTCTGCACCCACCTTCCACACATTGCACATTATTGAGTTGTTGCCAACACCTTTCTTACAGACAGCACATGGGTACCTCAACCATGCCTCGAATAAATACTTTTGTTTTTGCCACATTCACTCTCAGGTCCTTTGACTCTATTCCTTCCTTCCATTTCTTATAATTTTCCATTGGCTCTTCAATATTATCTGGTATCACCACACAGCTACTAACAGGGCTAGCCAATCCTAAAGTCTCATGATATTGCCTCCAGCACCATGATAAACAGAAGAGGACTCAAGATAGACCCCCTACTTTCATCCCAATTTCCTCACAATTTACCCTCATAAGTTTTGAGGCCTCGCTTAATGTTATAACCACTCAAACAAGGCATTCCTTGAATCCTAGCTTCTCATTGCCCACTTCACATGGTACCCTGTCAAATGCCTAGAAAATACAATTTACTCTCTTTCGCTAGACATTTCTCTTGAGTTACCTGGCCATAAATTTGCCTCTGTGTACCCCGACCTGGCATAAATACAAACTGCATTTTGTTTGTCACTCTATCCACAACTTTTATAATCTGATCTAGTAGCTTCAGGCCTCTGTAGTTCCCACCTTTACACTGCTCCTCCAGTTGTCTGGAATAGTCAATTCCATCATGATTACATTAGCTATTCAGTCACCATTGACACACCTACTGTACATCACCTAACCCCTTCACTACAGGGATGCTATTTTATTTGGCTAAAGCCAGATGATTTTATTCAGCTCAGATGGGAACTCATACATGCGGGGTTAATGCTTTCAGCATTTCTGCAGCTTTCCTAGAGCTTACAGTCACCTTTCCAATCCTTCAGTATGTTAATTGCTATCTTCACCCATTCTTTTTCAATCTTTGGCCATGAATAAAGAATGAAAAGATATACTACTACTACTATCTGGATTCTAGGTAGACTTTTTTGTGTGGATGACCAACATTGTTTATATTGGACAAATGGTATTACAGTACTTAGCAAGTATTCAGGGGAGAAATACTAAAGGTTAAGCTTTTTCCTAAGGCAACATTTATCAACGTTCCAAAAGTGAGTTCAATGAAGATGAAACTGGTGAAATGATGAAAACAGTGACAAATCATGAAGTTGAAAACATTGTGCAGCTGGTAGTACTACTGCTTACTACAACAGATGAAGTACATCATAATACGGTATAGCTATAGAACAATCAATGATCTGTCAAATTAAGTAAAAAATTAATATTGTTTTTGTTAAAAATGTATTTCTCCAACTTACTATAAACACAGTATGTATACAATTGTGATATTCATGCACGTGGCCCACACCAGAGATCGTTTGCAGGCACCATTTTGTCGAAGTGCATCATTTTATGTTAAAACATGTATTTCTGTCTTAATATATATATACAGTATATATACATATACCGGTATATATATATATATACAGTTGTACCCCACTTAACGCGGTCAATTGAACCCAGAGGGTCCCGCGTTAAGTGAACAACAGAACATATGGGATTAATTCCAATAGAAACCGGCCCGACCCCCAAACTCCACTTAATTTTATGATGGTACATGCACACAATTAATACTTAAGAGAAATAGAGAAATACAGTCGCCAAGTTAATGTCCATTCAAATAATGGACTCAACCTTGCCTCCCCCCCTCTTCCAACCGCGCGGTCAGTCCCAACCCTCCCCCCCCACCCCCCACCAATCCTCCCTTCCAGGGTTTTTAACATTTAGTATTAAATAATACCTCAGATTAAAGTTAGGATAATATAATTGACATTGCTGGATTCCTTGTAAGACCAGGAATATTTTGAATATAAATGTCATATATTTTGCACAAAAGATAACATAGTTAATTTGAGAAAATTTTTTATCTAAAATTTGTATGTCTAATGCAAAAATATGATGTTTATATTCAAAATGATCATCAAATTATAAGAATTCCAGCAATGTAAATTATATTCAGACCGGATAATTTGTATGAATTTTATGAGCTAAAACAAATATCTTCAGTTAATAAAAAAAATAATAATTCTTCACAGGGTAACAGATGGTCGGTCGGTCCCTCCCTCCCCCCCACCCCCCACCAACCGTCCCAAGGAGATGTGTGGGATAACCACTAAATTTTAATAAATAATACCTCAAACTAAAGTTAGGATAATATAATTGACATTGCTGGATTCCTTGTAAGACCAGGAATATTTTGAATATAAATGTCATATATTTTGCACAAAAGATAACATAGTTAATTTGAGAAATTTTTTTATCTAAAATTTGTATGTCTAATGCAAAAATATGATGTTTATATTCAAAATGATCACCAAATTATAAGAATTCCAGCAATGTAAATTATATTCTGGCCGGGTAATTTGTATGAATTTTATGAGCTAAAACAGGCAGTCAGGCAGGGTGGGGCAAATCTAAAAATAGCGTCTCGAGCCGGACACTCACCGCGTATATGTGGAAAAAATCCGTGTTAAGTGAAAGTTCAGCTCTGGCGAGGCACCGCGTATATGATAAAACGCGTTAAGTGAAACGCGTTAGGCGGGGTATATATATATATATATATATATATATATATATATATATATATATATATATATATATATATATATATATATATATATATATATATATATATATATATATACACAGTATATATATATCATTTGTTATGGTGTTACTGTGCTTACCCGAGACCAGTGATTGATCGCTGGCCTCACTTGCTCAAAATAAAAATAGATGAATTTTATTAACCCCTCCATTACAGAGATGCCACTTTCTAGTACAGAATATTTATTTAGCTAACTAATGCCACACGATTTTATTCAGCAGAGTGGATTCCGTATACAAGGGGTTAAACTTATGCAGTACATGGATTCCTGAAGTAGATACTGAAGTACTACATCAAATTTCTAAAAGCCTCTAGGCTGGTTCCAAGTATTTTTGGGATTCCTGACACTACTTGAGGATACCATTAAAAAGGTGGATTTTGATGGTCCGGAATGATGTGTGAAAATTTTATTGTATTATTTAATGTACCCCTGTATCTGTATATACATTAATCCTTCCTTAATCTGCAGCCACAGAAAAATTGGGTGATTCTGTGTATGTGCATTTTATTTTATTTTATTTTTGCAATTCTTAAAAAAATATTAACCTTTTTTAATTAAATTATACACAAGAATGAATAATAATAGATTACGGAGAAAAAATTTATCTTACTTACCATACAATTTGTCTGATCTTGGTTTTTCTCCATGCACATTTCCATTATACGTACAGTAATAAATGCAGTAATGATCAGGAAACCACTTCACTCCCTTAAC